TATCTTCTACAGTGTGTCCCAATAAAAATGGGAATTACGGGATGACTTTTAAATAGTATTTTATTCGCGCGGCCATTATCATTTAGTCTGATTTTCTAGATACAATAAACACTAATTATGGGCTTTCCAAAATATGGTCTGTCGGTTGTGTATCTTATAAAGTTAATAATTTTGTCCCAGTTTTATTAAATTGAATAAAAACAAAATTACCTTCATTTTTTGTGATACAATGACTCATACAAAATGCCGTGCACTCAATTCCAATATTTATTGACACATTGATCAGGCTCATTAAAAACAGAATAATTTTAGAAGTCATATCATCAACCTACTTTCACTAGAATTTCGTTCTGTTTAATTTCATTTATGTTTTATACAATTTCTTTTTATTTTAACGAGTAAATTATTCTGGAATCCTTTCTAAAATATTTATTCTCAACGTTTTGGACAATTTTAGGATTATTCGTGTGAGTTTGATTTATCCTACTATCCTTTCGATACTCAGGTTAAAATATATATTTTCTCACATTTTCCTTCTCATCAAATTGTAACATGAACACATATTTTTTCATGTACATGAAACTTTTTTTCAATATTTTTTACAAAAATATTTTTCTTTGAGAGTCTGAAGATGTAAATCTAGATAAATCCCATTTTAAAAATGGGATTACCTGATTCAGAACGGTAAACTTGAAACCATTCTGATTAATGCAATGGAAGAGATTGAGAGGATTCTCAGAGACTTTCTTCATAAAATAATGTTTTTCATAAAGATTCTATAGGAGTAGTTAAAAACACTTTTAGCTATAAAAATGATTATTAATTTTTGTTTAAATTTTTTTGACTGATAAGGCTCTGAAACTTTATTGAGTTATTATTAATCTTGAACACTTGATCTCGACATGTTGACACTTTTCAATATGAAGATATCTGCTTGATCCCATTTAATTAAAGCAATCCATGCAGGGTACAAACGATACTGGTTACCTTAAAGTAATTAAACTATTCAGTTTGCAAGAGATGGAGATCAAGGCTTGATCCAAGTATTTAAAACATAAAAATTCTGACTACAGGGCAAATCAAATCTATTACTCAAAGACAATACTTCAACTGTTTTATGATAACCACTGTACGATTATCGTAGGTTTGCCATATGCTGTTTGAACTGCAGGGGTTTACCAAGGAGTTTATAAGCCTGGAGGTTGACCAGGCTGGAGTAGAGTATCTAGGTACACGCTGCTCAACTAAATATACAGGGTGTCCCACGAAACATGACAGTTGACGAAAAGAATTAGACGCATAGAGAATAGAATATATAGAGAGGAATTTACTGGAAAAATGTGTAAAACGGCCATTTTGTTGTACTGTTTCCATACTGCAGGTGTACTTCACATATTTATGCTATATAACCTGTTGGGCCCTGGAATATCATTTTATAGAAAATCTAAAATTATTGTTAAAAGAAAACCAAATTATGAAATCGGCTGGTTTCATAATTGACCAATGATCATTTCACATAGACTCTATGCCTTCCACTTTACAAACGATGATTTTCCGTTATAACTATAAATCAAATGATGTTTTTATTCACCTAATTCATTATAAAGTTTATTTAACAGTTTAAAAAATTCGAAATTGAAATGGATAGTTTAGGGAACATACTGTATTAATGTACTCTACTGCATATAATTTGTGAACATTTACATGATCTGTACATTTTTTCAGTCCCTTTCAGGCTGAAAGGGACTGACAAAATTCATACCGAGAGATTCTTTAAATTCCTCTCTAATATATATTATATTCTCTATGATTAGACGTCTTCTTACATACTAATATGTTGTATGATACCAAAGAGAATAGTGAAGAAAATTTTATGGCACTTATGTTATAGTTAAATTCTAAAGTAAACTACATTTGACTAAAAGGTTTTTTAAACGAAATAAACTAGATTGATAAAGTCTTTATTATCATATGGAAGAAGACATTCAAAACTATACACCCATTGTCATTTTTCGTGGGACACCCTGTAGCAAATCTGTTGATATTTCTTGACATGCCAACTTCTTGAAATATAATTTTTCAAATCCATTGGGATTAAAAATGTATACATACACGTAAGGTAAAACAAAACTACATGATAAATATGTATTTACAAAATATTTTTGTTGTTCCCTAGTTTTTTCACTTCTGATACAAAGAAATTTTAATGTTATTTCATAACGTCTTGCGGTCTTTATTCCCCAAAATAAGCCATAAAATATTATCAAAAATAATATAAAAAGAAAGCTAGAATTATCTAAACATAAGTATGGTTTTCTTTTTATAAGATACAAGAAGGGTCTGTTATATATATGTGAAGGCTTGTGAGTCGTGCAATATTTCATATCAAAGCACAAGACATTCTTGTACAGTACAGTACAGTACAGTACAGTACAGTACAGTACAGTACAGTACAGTACAGTACAGTACAGTACAGTACATCAAAGCACATGACATTCTTGTGTTGTCTTTAAATTGTCATCTATTCTATATAATATATACATTGCTTGTTTTTAATATAAACCAAACCAACCAAAGGAATTGAATCTTTGTAACAAACTTCGATTTTATAATCCCTATATCTTTGCAACCTAATTTCGTAGACCTTATATATTTCAATCTGGGAATTCTGTTGGAACAGATAACCTAAGTTTGAAATTTCAAAGGTATACTCCATCAGGTTGTAAAGATATAGGAACTCTAAAATTCCTTTGTGTATCAGGAAAGAGAGACCTTCTTGAATACCAGATCCAAGATGAACGTCTTTTTATTGATAATTCAAATGAAGGAAGCAGAGCCGAGGTTAAAGTTGTGTTCAGGAGGTCAGAGTTGATAAATTATTGAAATTTACAGAATCATTAAAAATTGCGTCCATAAAAATGTGTTATCTTGAAGGGACTGTAAACGTGGCGTGACCGTTCTTAAAATTTGTAATCACTGTAAACAGAACTGTAGGAATAGTTTCAAGTGACTATCCATGTATAAATGACAATGCCCGTATAGAAACAGAACCCAATTTAACGCTGTAGTCTGATCAAGTATTACTCAGATATTCATGTCTTTGTTTTAGGACAATTGATTAATTTCACTCGTGGTTTCTCTGCGAATGTGACTTGCGCATATCTTGCTTCAGAAACATTTGAGAAATCATGAGAATTAAACACTTTTCAAGATTAAAAAACTACGTTAAACTCCATATTTCTATTCAGATGAAAGTTTCATGGTTATACATCGGACATGCCCCTCTTTTTGAATGAAGGTTACTTGAAATTACGCCTCCAGTCTCTTTAATTTTGTTTAAAATAAAATATACAAATATGATACGTATGAATGATATTTGTCAAAAGCTCTGTCTATACAAAAAGAGAAAGATTTTTGATAATTTTTTTTAATCTTATTAATTTTAATATATTGCAATGTATTATTTCATTAATTTTAATATATTGCAATGTAAATCAAATATAAATCTATGAAATATGAAGAGGCCTTTTAGACCTTCCTTTCTCCAGCCTGTTGGAAGAGTCCATCCTTGCGTATTGTGCAGATCTAACATTAAAGTTATATTGTATGTCCTATGTTAAATGAATCTCACTGTATCGTTATTTTAAAGGAGGATAGAATACCATCTGTTTGGAGTATTTGTTCAGCAGAAAATATTGATTGTTGTTGGATTCTTAACTTTCTACTTCGAGGTCACTAACTTCTCGGTAGGTAGACATCCAGGCCATTGGACACTTGAACACATTGACACTTGGACTTACTAATACTTAGACTTTTGGACTACAGAACAGAAATGAATTTGAGAACTTATCTATATAATAAAATTAGCTGATTTTTTTTTCAAAATTGGAAATGCTTTCTCTTCCAAGAGTGCCTTTAAAATTCCATGGGCAACGCCGAACCCTGCAAACTTTTGCAAATTTTAAAAGCTGAAAAATTTCTTAAATAAAAAATAAATACTTTTTCTGGTTTAGGACAGAGTTATGGTGAGCCTAACACTAATGCTGGTTATAGCAACTATATCTGATGGAATTAAAGTTGTAAGTTATTTTCATAGATTAATTAGAAATAACAAATAGAGCACTATTGTCTTTTCAAGATTTAGGGATTTTTGTTCATAATAACCCTGAGGTAGAAGCCCAATGGAGTTACGCGTATGCTTTAATTGTCATTCAACGCAGCATGTGCGAAAATCCTTTGGGCTTTTGCTTCAGGGTTATTGTGAACGGAAAACCCTAAATCTTGAAAAGACGACATTTAGTGTTCTGTCTGTTATTGTTAAATAATCTATGGTTATTTTTATTAATTTTAATTATTGCAATGTAAATCAAACATAAATCTATGAAATATGACAAGGCCTTTTGGACCAAATATTTTACTAAAAATGCTGCAAAAAAAGTAATTTTACAACGTATACAGCTGACTGCAGTGAAAATTCCAGAAAGTTGTAGAATAAAAAAAGACGTATATTTTAAGTTTTTAACAATATTTCATTGTATTTGACTTGCTGTGTTATTTGACTTAAGTCTAATAGTCGTGTTCATATTCCAGAGTTTTCTGGTATTTATACTTTATGTACAAAGATACAAGTTACATTTAATGCTGGTTAACATTTAAACATTCTTACCAACTTAATTCTAGACTCTACCCGCCACCCCGTACCTCAAGTTAATAGATATCTGGTTATTTTTCTCAATGAACTTGATGGTTTTAACCCTACTTTTCCATACTATACTTCTTCACAGGTTAGTGTCCGAAATAGTTTCATTTACTTTCTGAAACAGGAGTTAAGACATATTGTGGAACTACAATACTGCTTATTAGGTCGATAAAGAGAAACAGATAAACATTTTTTAATCTCTATATCTTTGCAGCATGTAAATCTTAGATAATATCCAACTAATTTATAGCAAATCAAAGGTCTACGACATCAGGTTCCAAAGATATTATGATTAGAAAGTTCTAGCAAGTAATCATTTCTACTTAACTAGCCTTAGAGGGCGCTTCGCGCTCATCTTCTAAATTAATTGTGAACATGTTCTCTTTGTGTACATCGTAAAACAAAGCAAAAATAATTCGCGGATTTTCACAAAAATTTCGTGGATTTTCAAAATTTTAAAAAATTTAATGGAGATCGAATTTTGATGGAGACAAATATTTAAAATTTCAATCATTCATAAACCTTCCCTGGGGTCCCCAGATGTCCCACAAAAAATTTGGGCCCGATCGGTTCAGCCGTTTTGACGTTTATTGGATACAAACAGACAAACAGACAGACAGACAAGCCAAATTTATATATAGATGTACCATTAAAGAAATCCAGGTTAAAAGAATATACAAAGAAAAATTTTGACATGAATAATTCAAAATATTTCAAAGATCTGTTTATCTAGGGTACTCAAGGAGAATAAAGTGGTTCAGAGTCTAGGGGGCGGTAGCAGGTATATTTAAAAGACCAGGGGGAGAGAAGATATGGGGGGGTACAACAGATACATATAAAAGATCAGGGGGGGGGAAGTGGAAGAAGATATGGAGGGGGGTGGGTGCAACAGATACATATAAAAGATCAGAGGGGGGACTTGCAAGAATTATATCCGAAGGAGCAGGTATGATCATGTTTAAATGTAAATCATGATTAATTCTGAAACTCCAATTTGATTATATATAATTGATTGATTAATTGATTAGTCGATAAATTGATTATTTGATTCAGGCCAAGATCTGCCTTCACCAAGCTACTGAGGATTCAGGATGCAGATGTTGATTCAGAGGTTTACTAATAAAATTTTCAATACAACATTTGAAAAATTTTTAATTCATGGAATAAAACTTGACTAAAAAAAACAAGATTAATTTTATTAAAATAAATGTATTTCATATTTATCTTTAACTTTATTTATCTTTTGATTATTATTGAGCCTTAATATGTTCACGGTTTGTCATTATTCAGCTTAAAAATTGTCTAAATTGCTAATGAATATTGTAGACTCTGACTGATAGTATCCGGTTGAACCGTATTGGTAAAGTGTTGTATGCAGGATCCACACTCACTTTCTGGTTCTTCTTCTGGATCATTGCACTCATTGAATTCTTCAGGTAATAATAATAATAATCACCAGATACCAGTAAATAAGGAATTTTAACATTTAAACCCCCCCCCCCCCCATTAAATCAATTTTAAAAATAATCAATTCAAGGAATATATATTGCATGAACCTCCATATTTATATTTGTTTACAAAAGAGTGTAGGGCAGCCTCAACTTTCAAGGAAGAATTTAAGCAAAGAAACTGCACACTTATGAAAAACTCAAATTTTCCTATCCCTATTTCATCGCAATCTGATGGTCTAATCTTAATATTTTAAACCAAGTCTATTTGATCTGGTGGAACTAATAGATTACAAGTCTTAAAGTAAAGGGTGTCCTAATAAACATGGGAATTCAGTGACGAATTCAATATCGTCTTTTTAAGTAATTCATTGATTTAGTATAGTAATCCCTACTGAGAAAGCTGTAGTCCGTAAGATTTTCGTCTGCTATGTTTACAATTTGATTATTTATGTTTTGACTGCATATGCAGTTGTACTGTACATGTAATAGCAAAAGAAAATTACAGTATACAAACTAAGTAAACTTGTCCGTCTTCACTGTTTATCTTGCAAAGAGATTATAGACACATCTTTATAGCCAAATGCCGTTTTCATTAAAAAAAAACTCTAGCTGCGGACATAATCATATTATTATGGCTTTTGAAATAGGGTATTGCAATGCTAATTGATAACAAAGACGATATCGAATTCGTCACTGAATTCCCATGTTTATTGGGACACCCTGTACAATATAAGGTTAAACAACTTGAATTAGTGGAAAGCGTTCAGTTCATTTATAGCTTATTGTTTTTGTACTTCCAGAAAACTTTATGAACTAAACAGTACACAGTACATAGTACACAGTATATAGTACACAGTACACAGTACACAGTACACATTTATTTTGTAAATAAAGATGGAGGCTTACTAGCGTTCCTTCCTTGAAATCTCTTTATTGTAGTTTTAAGATAAACTATCCAAACAAATATGAGCTACAAGAAAAACCTAAGTTCTTGCCTCAAACTCAAATTTTTCAAATCTGATGGCGAAACCTTTGATATTCCAAACTTGATCTTTTTTGATCCGACAGAATTCATAGTTTGAAATATCAAAGATCTACTCGACAATATCTGATTAGATGTAAAAAACAAAAATCAGAGCAAAAACTCATTTCCTTTTTTATCCAAAGATTAAAGAAAATTGTTAACATATTGTTTTTTGTTTAGGCCTGCTGAGCAGTATATAAACCAACGGGTTTCCTAATCTATCTAATCGGTGGTGTATTTTTCGACCTACGCAAATCCGCTATACTCCACTTCTGGGCTACGCCAAATCCTCTATAGTACACATCCGACCTACTAGCACGTGATTTTACAGCTGCTATATGGACTTGTGGCCGCAGCGCCGGCCCCTAGCCTGTCCTAGCCGCGGCGCTCGGCCCCCTAGCAGCTGTCCTAGCCGCAGCGCTCGGCCCAGAAATGGTCTTAACCTAACCTTCAAATAATACAAAAAGAAACAGCTGGCGTAGGTCCGATATTGCAGTAGCTCGGAAAGTTAATAGGTCGGAAGTTCAGTAGGGGGGATGTTGCGTATTGACGATGTAACATTACCATCTAATCTAATACTATTTATCTATGTACTAATATTCACTATTGTAAATCAATCATCAAATAAACAATTGCAATTCAATTCATTTATTTATGATGTTTGTATAGACATTTAACAGTATATATGCCAGACAAAAATAAATTATCGTCAGCTAAACATTTAGCGTTTAATGAACTGCAGTAGTTTTAAGTTCCCTTCCAGACGCGCAATGACAGAGATTTCCTTGGTTTTAGACAAGAAATTGAACCCCGATTGGGGTTTGAGAGGATACACTACATTTTCACGACACTCTATTTCCAGCCTAAAAAGGAATTCTCAGTCAATGGGGCACCCTGTATCTAAAGTGGGTCGTCTAACGTTAGTCTAAATCAAAGAAGAATTAAGACCGCAGTAATTAATTGTATTTACTTATACCCACACAGTGCGACAATATAACCAAAATAAATTAAATGTATTTACTTATACCCACACAGTGCGACAATATAACCAAAATACAGTGCGACAATATAACCAAAATAAATTTAATGTATTTACTTATACCCACACAGTGCGACAATATAACCAAAATAAATTAAATGTATTTACTTATACCCACACAGTGCGACAATATAACCAAAATAAATTAAATCAAAGTTTTGAAAATAAACACATTAAAAAGATAATCATTCAAAATTGCTTAAGTTCAATTTAAAATCAAAACAACTATTCTGTACTTGATCATATGATGTTATTTACACTGTACTGTAGTGTACTGTAGTGTACTGTAGTGTACTAGAATGTCCAGTGAAGTACAATTATGTTAACAGGCAAAGTTATCACAATTTCTGCTATCAAATCTGTTTCTATATTAATATTTATTCCGCCAGACTTTTTTAATTCTGTCATATTATCGAATTGGTTGTGGAGTTATTTTCTAAATATCACAGATTTATATATGATTAAAAAACTTGATTGGGTTAAGGCCAAATAATAATCTCAGTTTAAAAACCATTTGAAGAAGTTAAAATTAAATAGTAAAAGTATCAAAAACTAAAATTCTGGAAAGCATCTATCTAAATTGACAGTACTAAAAAAAAACAAAATAAAAGATGTTATTCTAGTAAGGCCAATTTGATTTTTTTTCACTTATAAACGTTTATGATTTCATTTAATTAACCCCGGTAAGCTTGATATTTCATATGATTTATGTACAATTAAAAATATTTTCAATTGTTTAGTAGCAATGCAACACCTCCGGTAGATTACACGGTCTCCTAATCTCGACGATAAATAGCCCTGAAACAATATTTAACTGTTAAAAACGGTAAAATAACATATTTGTCTCACTCAATTCCCTTTCCCCCATAAACACCTGTATTCCCATCACAAACTAATGGACCAAATAAATGCAAAGATTGGTTTTGTACTGAAAAAAAGTCGGAATTGTTAAGTCCGTTAAAAAATTTGGCAAGTTGAATTCCTACTTCACATATTAATCAAAGCTTCGAAAATCATAATTAAACTAAAATGCAACCAAGGGAAAATCATAATTAAACTAAAATACAACCAAGGGAAAATCATAATTAAACTAAAATACAACCAAGGGAAAATCATAATTAAACTAAAATGCAACCAAGGGAAAATCATAATTAAACTAAAATACAACCAAGGGAAAATCATAATTAAACTAAAATACAACCAAGGGAAAATCATAATTAAACTAAAATACAACCAAGGGAAAATCATAATTAAACTAAAATACAACCAAGGGAAAATTTATTTTAATAGCGTCTACCCCTCCTAACCTGAGCCAGGGTCTGGGCAGATATTGAGAACCGTCGAAATGCTCGAAATAATCGTCAACGGAAGGATGAAGAATCTTGGTATGCTTTACTATCTCCATATTCTCCTTGAACGTAACATAGTGAAATAAACATACACAAAATGGGAAAATCTGTAATTTAAACAGATTGGTATCTTTGCATATATTGTCAAATGTACAGATATCCACTCAGACAAAGATATATCTTTTACGATTGGGCATCGCGGTTAATCTTTTTTTCCTTTAGCCTTCAGGACATTCCAGAAAAGTTCAAAGTCTAACATGATCAAAATTTTATTCACTTTTCAAGTTTGCTTTTATGAAAAGTCTATACAAAACAAAACCAATCTTTCGTTATCAAAAGATTTGAGTAAAGAGGAAAAACACCTAATTGTTAATGTCAATGTTAATGTGCCCTTGCGTTTGAGATCGTGTACACCGTATAGCAGTGTACATAAACTACCTGTGGTACATATGTTATCTGAGGTACAGGCCTATCCCTAGTATCCACTAGTATTGCGTAATTAGGTTGAGAACTCCATCCCCTGCAAACATAAAGCTAGGTGTAACAGCTTACAGAGTACAGTTTACTGAGCACAGTTCACAAAGTACAGTTTACCGAGTACAGTTTACAAAGTACAGTTTACAGGGTGCAGGTTACAGAGTATTATTTACCGAGTACAGTTTACCGAGTACAGTTTACAGAGTATAGTTTACAGAGTATAGTTTACGGAGTATAGTTTACGGAGTCCAGTTTACAAAGTACAGTTTTCAGAGTAAAGTTTACAGAGCACAGTTTTCAGAGAATTGTTTAACAAGTACAGTTTACAGAGCACAGTTTACAGAGCATAGTTTACAGAGTAAAATTTACCGAGTACAGTTTACAGAGTACAACTTACAGAGTACAGTTTATAGAGTATAGTTTACAGAGTACAGTTTACCGAGTACAGTTTACAGAGCACAGTTTACAGAGCATAGTTTACAGAGTAAAATTTACCGAGTACAGTTTACAGAGTACAGCTTACAGAGTACAGTTTATAGAGTATAGTTTACAGAGTACAGCTTACAGAGTACAGTTTACAAACTACAGTTTACCGAGTATAGCACAGTTCACATGGAAAAAAAGGACAGTTTACAGATTACAGAGTAAAGTTTGCAAATAAACAAATTTGGAAATAACTAATATTATAAATAATCCGGAATAAGATAAATTGATTGATAACTTATTACTAGTGTTTGACCTTCAGATTCATGCACCAATAATCAAAACATAGACCTAATCTAATGCTGCCTTTAATTGCTCTCAAAATCACCAGAACTATTGAGAGTTTGGTATAAAGTTCAATTTATTGAATAAAACCATGAATATGTCTAATTCTGAACGAAATCATTCATATCCTTAGTAATTATGAAAGCACAAAAATGGCAGACCACATTTTGGAAATGGCAGGACTAGGGCTAATCTGTGATTATTGTTTTATAAAAATATATGGCTAAAACAGGTTACCAATGGTGAATGCAGAAAACCATTTCTTAGGTTAAACTCAAAAGCGACTGTATATGAGAAATCATTTTATCACTTATATTACCTATTTCCTTTATGCATCTCTTTTAACCAGAAGTCAGGGGCCCGAGCTTCCTCGTCCCAGCCAATAATAACACCTCTATACCCCCATCTATAAAATCATTATCTTAGTTTTCAAATTTATTTCAATTTATTTTTTCATTAAATGTCATTAACCTTTTCATGCGGGAATATTAAAAGAGTTACAAGGACAAAACTTTTTTATTTCTTTAAAATAGGATATTTTATCAAACATTTTAATACGGGTATCTCGAACTACTCAGTTCAAATTCATTTGTCAAAGATTTTTAATTATCTAAATTTGGATTAGGTTAAAATTAGATTTTTATGGAAACAGATTTCAGTTTGAAAATATGTTGTATCACAATATTAAGTTTACTAAAAATTTACCTTGCATGCTTCATCACTTGACCTACTCTATACTTGACAGCAGGTGGTCTTGTTTCTCTAAATAATTATGGAAGGATTACAAAAAATCACATTAAATAAATACTTTCAGAAAAAGTACCAGATGAAATAAAAAAAAAGCATAAAAAGAGACCGGCGGAATTGAGAAAACAGATTTAATTTTTAAAAGATACAAGTTATAATATCCAAATTTAACGAACATTTTTTTAAAATCTTTAGGTCTTGTTTAAAAAAATGATTAAATTCTACACCTTGGATCCGGGCTCTGGCCAAAGTGTCCGTTCTTGTCCCTGAACATTTAGAACTTTTATTATTTTTCAGACAAAACATCTGTCAACATCAAAAATTTAGAACTTTTATTAATTTTCAGACAAAACATCTGTCAACATCAGAAATTTAGAACTTTTACAAAGCATATGTCAACATCAGAAATTTAGAACTTTTATTAATTTTCAGACAAAACATCTGTCAACATCAGAAATTTAGAACTTTTATTAATTTTCAGACAAAACATCTGTCAACATCAGAAATTTAGAACTTTTATTAATTTTCAGACAAAGCATATGTCAACATCAGAAATTTAGAACTTTTACTAATTTTCAGACAAAGCATATGTCAACATCAGAAATTTAGAACTTTTATTAATTTTCAGACAAAGCATATGTCAACATCAGAAATTTAGAATTTCCGCAATTAGAAAAAATAAGGTTTTGGTAAAAAAAGAAATAGTGCAAAATTTCAATAAAAACTGCTCAAATAAGTACAATGATTTGTCCATTTTGCTTCATTATATTTGTAAAAAAGAAATAGAGCAAAATTTCAATAAAAACTGCTCAAATAAGTACAATGATTTGTCCATTTTGCTTCATTATATTTGTAAAAAAGACATAGAACAAAATTTCAATAAAAACTGCTCAAATAAGTACAATGATTTGTCCATTTTGCTAAATCATATTTGTAAAAAAGAAATATAGCAAAATTTCAATAAAAACTGCTCAAATAAGTACAATGATTTGTCCATTTGCTTCATCATATTTGTAAAAAAGAAATATAGCAAAATTTCAATAAAAACTTCTCAAATAAGTACAATGATTTGTCCATTTTGCTTCATCATATTTGTAAAAAAGAAATTCAAAAAAGAATTCAAGCTTTGTACATTACACAAAACGACAATAATGCACAAAACGTATTTTCTTGTATACGCAATTTATAAAAATCAGACCTATCCAATTAGGCGTTTTTCTTATTTAAATGAACTAGAAAAATATGAGAACTTTTTTATCAAAGCTAAGATATGAGAACTTTATTAAAAGCAAAACTTTCATAATAATAGGTTAGCCACAAAAGGCGAGAGTATAAAGACGACTGTACGGAATTTATTCAGTATTTTTTCTTACTGATTTAATTCCTTGCAACTTTAAACTTGCTTCTTTCTTCGCCAAATAATTTGGTATACAAAAAAACGCCTTTAAATCGTTCTAATTTATAAGATTTAGGTCTCAATCTTTGTGGGTAACTCTGTAACATAATGATTTAGTTTCTCTACGGATAATTAGTAATAATTTAGTTTGCCTAAAGTTGGTATTTTGCACAGAACAGATGTGAATTAATAATCAGCTTTTTAGTTTTAGAAATTAAACTATGATGTGCAATCATTTGTAAAAACTAACAACTGTAACAAAATATCTAGTTATCATATTATCTTAAATCAAGCCAATAAACGAATATGTTGATACTATGCATGGGATTGTAAGCAAACAAATATAAAAAATGTTGTGTCTGATTTTGCCCGAATTCTTTAGATCCGAGAGGTTTAGAAGTCAAGTATGAGAAAAGCTAATTCTTCTTTTACATAATATATATTACACAATTCCACTCTTCTTTTTTTCTCCACAACACTTAATAAAGTGAAGCTGTAGATTGAAAAATTTATAAAACAAACGTAAATTTTTTTTTTTTTTAAATGTATAATTTGATGAGTATGACACGTCATAAATAATCTGTTTTTAACTTCTTTGCGCAAACAATTCAATGCAAATAAGAACGATAACAATATAACCTGCATTAATGATTGTTTTGAGTACTCCAGACCCTATTCTTAGTTCTGTAAATACCAAATATGTCGATAAAATAATACCCCTTCAATATTTCAGAAAGAAAAATATATGTATTTAAAATTTAAATCTGACAGTTCCCTTGCAAATATTGACTTTTATGTTTGTAAAAAGATAGTAAAATATCTGGATGAATCAAATTTATCAACATATTCAAAATGCGAAAATGATAAAAATATTTTGATATGTAGTTTTTAGTCTAAGGAAGCTTATACGTAAGCAACAACAATAAACAAAAACTTTAGACATATTTCTATGACATTATGTGCTCTAAAAGCAATATTTTTAATTCCGTTTTCATTATAAAAAGTTCTGATTCAGATCCTTCCTTCAGGACTGCACGCAATAAATAATCATTGTACTCAAGATAAGCACAGCAAATTACATGGTTTGAAATGAAAACAATTTTATAATTAAATTTATTAAAAGTTTAATAAATTTTAAGAAATTAACCTCAAGTAAATTAGAATTTTTACACGAAACTTAATTCTTCGTATTATGTCTGGTAACCTTTCCTTATTGTAAATTTTTTAAATAGATCTTTTAACACGAACAAATCAGTTTTGTAAACTAAAGATAAAACATTAAAAGTCAAATGATTCTTAAAAACCTCAACTAAAAAAACACATAAATTAATATGAAAACACATAAATTAATATGAAAACACATAAATTAATATGAAAAATCATTAAATTCTTTGATTAAATTTTAGCCAAGTTTTAGATTGTGGATGAAAAAATATATACCTGTACTTAAACACCTCAACTGCAGGACATTCTCCATTAGGATCCTGATATATAGAAATATGATGAATAGAATTATTAAATAGAAATTATTTTATGATAAAAAATAAGAATTTCCGTAGAAATGGGGTTGGCTCGGGAAAAGAGATATTTAGTTAAGCATTGTTTCTTTCAAGTAGAAGTTTATCAGTCAAGGAATGCAAAACAGATAATTTTAATTGAAGCTACCTCAAGATCTATATCTGCCCAACCTCCAATAAGCTGGTCAAAAAGCATATTAGAGCACCAGATCTTCCAGTTATCCAACTTAAACCAGGAGTCCTTTAGTTCACTAAAATACAATAACAGTTATTCAACTTAACCATGAGCCCTTCCGTTCACTAGAATACAATTAAAAGTTATCCAACTTAAACCAAGAGTCCTTTAGTTTACTAGAATACAGTTAACAGTTTTCCAACTGAGACCAAGAGTACTTTAGTTCACTAGAATAAAATGAACAGTTTTTCAACTTAACCAGCAGTTCTTCAGTTCACTAGACTACAATTAACAGTATTCAACTAAAACCATGAGTCCTTTGGTTCATTAGAATACAATTAACAGTTATCCAACATAAACCAAGAGTCCTTCAGGTCACTAGAATACAATTTGCATTTAATTAAATTAAACAAAGAGTCCTTAAGGTCACTAGAACACAATTATCATTTAATTAACTTAAACCAAGAGTCTTTCAGGTCACTGGAATGCAATTAACAGTTTTCCAAATTAGACCAATATTACTTAAGTTCACTATTATACAATTAACAGTTATCCAACTTATACCAAGAGTACTTTAGTTCACTAGAATGCAATTAACAGTTTTCCAACTTAGACCAAGAGTATTTTAGTTCCCTAGAATGCAATTACCAGTTATCCAACTTAGACCAATAGTACTTTAGTTCACTAGAATACAATTAACAGTTTTCCAACTTAGACCAAAAACAGTTTTTCAACTTAACCAGCAGTTCTTCAGTTCACTAGACTACAATTAACGGTATTCAACCATGAGTCCTTTGGTTCATTAGAATACAATTAACAGTTATCCAACATAAACCAAGAGTCCTTCAGGTCACTAGAATACAATAAGCAGTTGTCTAATTTAAACCAGGAGTCCTTCAGTTCATTTGAATACAATTAACAGTTGTCAAACATAAACCAGGAGTCTTTTAGTTCACTAGAATACAATTAATATTTAATTAACTTAAACAAAGAGTCCTTAAGGTCACTAGAACACAATTAACATTTAATTAACTTAAACCAAGAGTCCTTTAGGTCACTAGAATGCAATTAACAGTTTTCCAACTTAGACCAAGAGTATTTTAGTTCCCTAGAATGCAATTACTAGTTATCCAACTTAGATCAATAGTACTTTAGTTCACTTGAATACAATTAACAGTTTTCCAACTTAGACCAATAGTACTTTAGTTCACTAGAATGCAATTAACAGTTTTCCAACTTAGACCAAGAGTATTTTAGTTCCCTAGAATGCAATTACCAGTTATCCAACTTAGACCAATAGTACTTTAGTTCACTAGAATACAATTAACAGTTTTCCAACTTAGACCAAGAGTACTTTAGTTCACTAGAATACAATTAACAGTTTTCCAACTGAGACCAAGAGTACTTTAGTTCACTAGAAAACAATTAACAGTTTTCCAACTGAGACCAAGAGTACTTTAGCTCACTACAATTAACAGTTTTCCAACTTAGACCAATAGTACTTTAGTTCACTAGAATACAATTAACAGTTATTTAACTTAACCAAGAGTCTTTCAGTTCACTAGAATACAAGTAACAGTTATCCAACTTAGACCAAGAGTACTTTAGTACACTGGAATATAATTAACAGTTAAACCACATAAAACATAATACACCATCTATCAAGACAATAGACCTTATCTCCCAAGATAATACACCTCGTCTACAAAGATTAGACACATTATCTACCAAGATAATAGACGTCGTCTACCAAGATAATGTGCACCTTATCTATCAAGATATTGTGCACCTTATCATATATAATACACCTCGTCTACCAAAATAATACACCTTATCTACAAAGATAATACACCTAGTCCAACAAGATGATGTACACCTTATCTACCAAAATAATACACCTCGTCTAACAAGATAATAAACCTCGTCTACCAAGCTATTACACTTTATCTACCAAGATAATAAACCTCGTCTAAAAAGATAATACACCTCGTCTGCAAAGATAATAGACCTTATCTACTAAGATAATACACCTTATCTACCAAGATAATACACCTAGTCTACCAAGATAATACACCTAGTCTACCAAGATATTACACCTTGTCTACCAAGATAATAGACCTTATCTACAAAGATAATACACCTCGTCTACCAAGATAAAAGACCTAATCTACAAAGATAATACACCTCGTCTACAAAAGATATTACACTTAATCTACCAAGAAAATAAACCTCGTCTATCAAGATAATAGACCTCGTCTACCAAGAAAATACAACTCGTCTACCAAGATAATACCCCTCGTCTACCAAGATAATACACCTCGTCTACATAAGATATTACACTTTATCTACCAAGAAAATAAACCTCGTCTATCAAGATAATACACCTCGTCTACCAAGAAAATACACCTCGTCTACCAAGATAATACACCTCGTCTACCAAGATAATACACCTCGTCTACATAAGATATTACACTAAATCTACCAAGAAAATACACCTCGTCTACCAAGAAAATACACCTGGTCTACCAAGATAATCCACCTCGTCTACCAAGATAATACACCTGCTCTACCAAGATAATACACCTTGTCTATCAAGATAATACAGCTCGTCTACAAAGATAACACACCTCGTAAACCAAAAAGATAAAGCTTGTCCATAATCTTTACCTTAACTGTGTCACAATTTTGCTGATGGCGTATGTTCTAGATGCTTCATTGCTACCCATATAGTTGGTTAGAAACAGTTGCAATGGCAGGCTAGAAATTAAAACTTTTTTAAAATGTATTTGCGAGTACGTGTCGTCAGTCAGTTGTCTATACAGAAATTAGTCCCGGGGGGGGGGGGGGCATATATATTTATTTCTTCTTTCCAGAAGTTTTAAGTACCCGATGGAGCCTGAAACAAGCCTTAAAACGAACCATAAATTTCATTGATCCAGGGGGCTGAACCCCTATACACCCCCCTCTCCTCCTGTATACGAATTATCTGAATGATTAACGGCTATAAAGATTGACCTAGTAATTAGTTTCTCCACAATTAACAAAGGGAATAATGAGGTGTTTATTGGTCAAATAGGCCATATAAAAAGCTTGTAATGAATGGTGGCATAATATTCATAAGAAATAAGGATGCTGTAAGTATAAAAATTGTCAATTAAAATCAAAAGAGCAAATAACTAAAAACGTCAAGAAAAAACAACCATAAAATTAATTCGGAGCTTAACTATGGTTTTATTTACCTCAAAAATATTATAGCAAACTGAACATGTTCCCGTTGTATCGGCATCTTGCTCCACTATCCTGCCTCTTTCAACATTTTTGAAATATATGTAAATAGAGAAACAACTTGACGAGTAATGTTTGCATCTCAGCTGTTTGTTTTAGCAGACGGACGTAACGGTCTACTATTCGTGGACTTCTCCCGGATTTCCTTGTTTTTTGATTGGTTCATTCTTTCTTACCATGGAAAACGGTTTGCGTAAATGTCGTCCTAAAAATAATCAAGCAGGGGATTTGAATTCTAAATTAGAACATAAACTACATATGCTTCAGTTCTACATTGATTATCTACTTTTTTCTAGATCTCAAACTATGAACCAAAACTGTTAAAAACTTCAAATGAAGTGATTACTTTTAAAAGTAATTGTGCGAAATATGCTCAGTTTATGTGACGCATAGTTCGGTTGGTATGACAACAATTATTCTGACCAATGAGATTAATGAATGTACTACCTGCTCTCAATGAACCGCCAATATTTGAAAATGGCGGAACACCGAATAAGTGACAATTCTGGATCTACGAACGAGTGTGATCGGGAAAAATTCTGTCTTTCGAAAGTATTTAAAAATAATTCATATATCTATTTATGAAATTACTGTGAATCAGTTACTCGCTTTAGACTGTTTTATCAAAAGAGTCATGAGTGTTAATTGTGTAAATTTTATGGTTTTTATTTTTAAACTGCTATTTAGAAAATACATTGTCATGTAAAATAATGGTAAAGAATAATCTGCAGTTAAAGGGGCGGCTGAGCCCCCTCAAGTCCCCGGCAAGGGTCAAGCGCAGATCATTATCAAGCAGGTAGGAATAGCTTAGTGAAGATTATTTTTTAACCCCTCCTTTCTCCTCGGTCAAGTTTCACTAGTCTTTATCACATCCTTCTCGTCGTTAAATCACATTCTCTAGGGGTTTCCTTTGTAGTTTTCCAGTGAACGAATTTTGGACCCCCACGCCCCCCTCCTATCAATTTTTTACATGTGACCGCAGTGGTCATTTGACCGCAGCGCCCGGCCTCCTAGCCTGTCTTAGCTGCAGCGCTCGGCCTCAAGCCTGTCATAGCCGCAGCGCTCGGCCCAGAAATTGTCTTAACTTAACCTAACCCTAAAATAATAATAAAAAAATAATAATAATTTTGTTGAAATCTTGTACAAAAATGATAGGAGGTGGGGGGTTGGGTCCGAAATTCGTTTACTTGGACAGACCCTTTCCCTTTTCCCTGCTGGTTACTACACGTTGGGTCTGGGTATATTCCTAGAGAATGATTTTTGGACCTCCCTCCTATCAATTTTCTACATGACGAAATTAGTATTTATTTATTATTATTTAGGGTTAGGTTAGGTTAAGACATTTTCTGAGCCAAGCGCTGCGGCTAGGATGGGCTGGGGGGCCGAGCGCTGCGGCCACGGGTTTGGTTAGTTAAGACACTTTCTGGGCCGAGCGCTGCGGCTAGGACAGGCTAAGGGGCCGAGCGCTGCGGCCACATGCTCAATTATATCCATGTCTAACACATAAGATCCATGCACAAAATTTATAGGAGGGGGGGTCCAAAAATCGTTCTCAAGGAATATACCTAAATGTTCCATAACACAACAACCCCTTGGTAATTTCCTATTGTACGATTTTTCCCCCCCCCCCCCCCTCACTTATCAATTTTGTACATGCATCATGTAACAATGGATATAATTGGTTTTGTGGCCGCAGAACCTAGTCTGTCCTAGCCGCAGCGCCTGGTCCAGAAAATGTCTAAACCTAACCCTAAAATAACTTAAAATCTAGAATAATGAAAAAAAATCTTTTGCTGAAAAGTCGGTGGCCATGTACAAAATTTTTAGGGGGGTGGGGGCTAAAATCCTTCCTTAGGATAGACCCTCAACCCCATGTTTCTTAAGTGTTTCTTTTCTGCTCCTCTAAAACCACCATGGGATATCATATCAGGGTTGAAAAAATAGCGGGCCTCATCGTGTCTGCCGTTTTGTCGATGGAGGATTCGAGTAAACCTTTGGGTAAAGCCACCAAATGCTGGACCTACCTAAGCCGAAGCAAATTTTATTTTTCACATGTATGTTTTCATTGTATTGTGTAAAATTAGAATTTAAGGCACAATGAAAACGATTGGTTGAAAGGTATACTAAATCGTATGATTAAATGTCAAACCCCAAATTGATTAAAAACGAATTAAGGAATAAATGTTTATCTCAAGACAAGGCTGTTTATTTTCCCCCCCCCCCCCCCACCCCCCCCCCCCACGATTTGGAAGCCATTTTTCTCCCAGATGGTTTTATTTGCTGAATTAACCCTTTGGGAAAATTAGTGTTTCGGATCCGTATCATTTTGTTTCGGATCCGGATCCGGATCCGAGGTAACTTTTGATTCTGTGAATACTTTATATATTTGAAATTTGCGCCATGTGAGCATTTGCCGCTGAGTAATCCTAAAGTTAAAAATGTCGTCATTACTATTATATAAATGTAAATTTTCGTCATGTAAATAATACATTTACGAACCATTTTGATTTATTTATTCCATGGTTTTGGTTAATTTTTGGCGCTACCCGGATCCATATCAACGTTTCCTGATACGGATCCGGATCCGGATCCGACCAAATGATACGGATCCGGATCCGAAACGCTGGGGAAAATGATCGAATTGACCTTTTGGTGTCCAATTTTATATGGTTTTCATAGCATCACTAGATTTAAACCCCTATTTCTGAAGTTTACAATATCTAGGTCTGCTAGCACAAGCAGTGCTTCTGGTACAGGCTCTGCTGCTGCTCCTCTTGTAGCAAATATCAATGTTGCTGTTCGTGTCAGGTACTTGGGCCCAGGGGTGGTTATTTTCTTAAAGAATCACCCTCCCCATTTGAAATTAATTTTGCCCCAGAATTTATTTCGGGTGGGTTTTAACCACTGAATTGGGGAAAAAACTGATCAATTAGGGACTTTTTATATGTACGTCATACTTTTTTATCAACTAGATTTTTTAGTTTCAATTTTCTTTACTTTATTTTCAATATTTTAGACCGGAGAATTCTCGCGAGGAGGCCGGAGCATTCAGAACAATTGTCGATGTCGTCGATAAGAATATGCTGGTCTTTGATCCTCAGGTTAGATATTTGATTCAACAAACATAAAAATTATAAATATTTCATATTTTGCCTTAAATAAATGAGCAGACTTTTTTTTAATAATTATAATTTGTTATTTTTTGGCGTGTTTTTATATCCATTTTTATATATAAATCAATATGATAGTAACAATAAATATTTGATGACTTAATACTCACTTTTTTTCTTTCTTACAGGATGGAGACGATGAAGTATTTTTCTTTAAGGAAACCATATTTAACAATTTTTCTTAATTTTTACGAGTATCAAACATCTGAAACTTGTTACTAATACCGTAAACCTTTAAAATTGCAAAAGGTAATTTCAACATTTTGTCAATTTAGTTTCCAGACAAAGCCGGGTGGAAGTATTCAATAAAAAACTTTTATTTTTTCAGATTAATAAAAGAAGTAAAAAGAATAACTTTGAAATAAACCCAGATTATTGAATAAAGGGAATCGCTTGGGGTGTTCTGGTCCACAGTCGATTTTACCTATCAGTATTTACCTTCTCAATACGCATTTTATACACGCCTGGGGTCGTCTGTTAAATCCGCCCAGGCTTTGTTCTATTAATGATTCCTTAAAGGGAGTGACCGGCTATGTAAGGTAGTTGAACCGAGTACGCAGTGTTGGGGAAAACTTCTTTCGGATTCATTTGAGACATATTAAACTTTTAAAATATCTGTAAATCCTGAGTGAGCGCAAATTCGATGTTCAAAACTCCTACTACCCCAAAGTAGGAGTTTTGAACGTCAAATTTGCGCTCAAACAGATTAAGGGTTAATATGTCTCAAATGAATCCGAAAGAAGTTTTCCACAACACTGCGTACTCAGTTCAACTACCTTACATAGCCGGTCACTCCCTTTAATGCAGGCGAAAAAAACTGTTGTAAGTGAAATGAATTAAAAATATAAGAAGAGTGAAGGAAACTTTATGATAATTGCCAATGAAAGAGAGACCTAAACTATAAAAGTAAAAAATTAACTAATTACAGAACTAAGAAAGTTTGAATTTCGTGATGTGTATTGTTACATGTGGTTGGGTCTAGGGTAAACGGCAGGGAATGCGGGACTTGAACAAGAAAGAAAAGAAGGACAAGAAGTTCACCTTCGACAACGTATACGGACAGGAGTCCACAAACCAGGAAATATTCGAGGGAACTACCAAGGTAAATAACCCTCTGGTGTAAGAAATTGTCCTTTTGCTTTTATTAGTAAAAAAACTGTCTTTTTTTACCGAAAAATGTGTTTCATATCTTATTATTCATTTACATAAAAGGGCTAAAAATATAATTTTATATTATGTTTTCGACTCTTGAGAGAATATAAGAAATAATATTTTTTTATAAAAAAAAATCTCGTTCCAAGAAAATAATGGAGAAGATAAATGAACTGGAAAGGAGCTCAACACTTTCAAACTTAGGCTAGCCAGTTCTGGCTAAAATTGTAGTTTGTAATATTAAAGAGAGCAGGTTGAAATTATCCAATATCAAACAAATTTAGGTTGACGTAAATGTTTGTTTTTTTTCGAAATTTCCTGTGTTTTTTTTTGGGGGGGGGGGGCTCGACAATTGTAAATAAAATATTTTTATTTTATTTTCAGAACGTGGTCAATACGCTTTTCGATGGTTATAACTGCTGTGTGTTTGCTTATGGGGCAACGGGAGCTGGAAAAACTCATACAATGCTCGGATCTAAGGTAGCATTCAATCTTAAGACTTATAAATAGGACAGGACAAGACAGGACAGAAACGCTATAATAAACATTTTTTACGATTTATTTTAAACATTATTTTGATTTTGATTTTAAGGATTTTTACACATTTATTTCAGGACAACCCCGGTATAGTTTTTCTCACCATGGCGGAGATCTTTAATAAAATAGGGAAATAAGCTTCAAGTCAAATCTAAAATTCCACAAACTCTGAACATATCCTGTAACATGGTTATTTAATTTACACCGACTTTAAGTAACATAAATATAAGAACATACCGTCATTTATTCTTTTTATATAAGATCAAATAGATATTCTTAAAGTTTTTAATTTGAAAGTTTATTTGAAGATGTGCTTGGAGAGGAGACTCATTTTGAAATATTTATGAGCTATTTGGAGGTAAGCAACAATGCAAACAAAAAGATATAAAAAACGAACATTTAAAAAAATATTCTCGGTTTAGAGAGAACCATATACGATAAATGCCTTTTGTTTAAAGTGTTTAACCCCTTGTGGTGGCATGCAAAGCTCTTATCGATTTTAATCTGTAAATGATGCCATAAATCTTTAATGGGATTCTTTAAACTGAGGATTTCTGAATTTATGTTCACTTTACCTTTTAACTTGTTAATCTTTTCTATTCTCTAGGTGTATAATGAGGGATTAAGGGATCTCCTCGATATATCAAAAGTTCTTGTCATTCGGTAATCCTTCACAAATAATTGTAATTATTTAAAAAAAAAAAAAATCTAGCTCCTTAAAAAATTATTCTCCGCCGTCTCTGAAAAATGTATTGAACAATATCTAATAATGGTTTGAGGGGGTCGAAAACAGTTCTTGAATATATATACCCCTGCTTATATCGCGTAGTGAAAATTTAAAATTTAAAAAAATATTTGTAATAGTTAACTCTATTCTTATTTTCAGAGAGGACAACAAGAATGGAACATCTATATCAGGAAAACAAGCTTGTTCTCAATATTTTCAAATATTTTTCATATAAATTTTAGAAAATTTGTTTCTGTCGATTCTGGACACCTGGTTAATTTGTTAATATCGATTTAACTCATTTGCATTCATTTAGTTAACTATAAATTGATTTATTAATATATAGATAAATTGGTTGAATGATTGATTGGTTGCTTGCTTTGTTTTGTTAGATCAAAGCTTGTATTAGGTCTGAGCATTCACAAACCTAGTGGTCCAGCAGAGGTTCTTAATCTTCTCAGGTTTCTTTTTGATTGAGGGGTTCTCTGTTCTCTTCACGAGGGTGTCTCAAAAAATTTACAATTTCTGGTTCAATGAGACCAATTTTAGGCTTTTAGATCCGAAACTGACAATTTTAAAGGCTCCTAAAGCTGCCAAATGGAGTTAGGAAATTTTATAAAAATAAATAAAATCTCGGTTTGCACATAAGGGTCTATGCAGACTCGTTTGTAATCGGATTTCTAGATTGAGACCATTTTTAATTACTACGTACAAGTTCCGATTCAATGAGTCCAATTTTAGACTTGAAGATCAATAACAATTGTACTGTAATACACTGTAACGTAACTTTGAATATAAAATTGTGCAAATGGAGATTATCTTTTACTTTTTACTTTGCTCCAGTTGGAAACTTTAGGAGCCTATGAAATTGGTGATCTTAAATCTACAAGCTAAAAATTGGCCACATTAAATCGGTATTTGTACGTAGATATCAAAAATGATCTAAATCTTGAAAATCCGATTACAAACAAGTCTGTAGACCCTTACACAAATTAATGTGCAAACGAAGGTTATCTTATTTTTACAAAATTACTCACTCCAGTTGGAAACTTAAAGAGTCTTTAAAGTTCTCATTTTTAGAGCTACAAGCATAAAATTTGGCTTCTTGTACGAAAAATGTAAATAGATTTAAAAAATTGTCTCAATTCATGAAAATCCGGTTACATACGAGTCTGTAGACCCTTATTCCCCGTTTTTTTGAGACACCCTGTATTTTTTTTCCCCCCGTTTTTAAAGGGGAACTATAATAAGCCGCTTTACTCAACGGTTTACACAGAGTTTATTTAGTTGCTTTTGATGGATATAATGTATTTCCAATTCCATGCAGCCAATATGCAAAGAGTATTAGGGGACATGTAATAATTTTTTAATAAATAAACAACAAGTTACCTGGGGATTCCATTTTGGGTTCCTTTCAGATCTGAGGGGTTTATCTTTAATCTTAATTGTTTATCTTAGAATTAAGATAAAAAGAGAATTGAAAACTAATAATGAATCAGAACCGGCCGTAAACAACTTAGGAATTTTTAATTTTCTTAGTTATGGTAACAGTAACAGATCTCAGCACCCTACAGATCATAATAAGGAGTCATCTCGGTCTCATGCTGTTCTCCAGGTAGGTTCAAACTTCAAGTTCAGGTGTTCAGAGCTGGGAATTTTTGTATTAAATCTACAGCTGAGTCTAGGAGTTCTGAGATGGTAATTTTTGTATCGGATACCCGTAATCCCGATAGTTTGATCTCAATATTCACAGCAGGCACTTTTAAATTTGAAGCAGAATCTGCTTAATCTCTTGTTTTTTCAGTTTATCCCTTCTCTCATATGTCAAATGCATAATGTCACCACTTCTGATTGTCTGTTTCCGGGATATCTGATTGGAACTTCACAGGATATCGTGTAAAGATTAATTTAATATGTAGATTAATAGAAGATCGAGATTAAGCATTGATCTATACTTAAGTTCCCAGCTCAGGTCAGATTATTTAAAAAAAATAGATACGTGTTTGTAATTCTACTCAATGCCTCAGATAATAAAATGATGGAAAAATCTCAGGTCACATCAATATGGAATTTTACAATTTCTTAGATATGATATGGTTTAAGATTGATCTTACCCGTACAGACTAGAGCTGGAAACTTTAGAATGGTGGATATCGGGATTAAGGCTTGATCCACTCTTTTTCTTAATCTCCAGATTAAGTATTGCTTGTTTTCCTCATGAATTTAGTCTCCAGACTAATTAACAGGTCGGGATTAAGGATATCACATTCTAAAGTTTTCACTTTTCAGCTCAGGTCGTATAATGGATACTCCTGTAGATGCTCATCTCGCACACCCCTTCTACTGAACCGAAAAAAGATTTAAAAAACTTGCCATAAAAAGTAAGGGCTGGTCATTATTCTATTGACCTTCCAGGTCTCAGAAAAGTTGAGATTGAAATCCTAGCTTTCCTTCGTGAAAAATTACCCTAAACGTGTCTAAGGTTGGTAAACTAAAATTTTGATAAAATCTTAATTTTTACGTCTAAAAAATAAAATGGTACTAAAAAACTGCAAACCACTTCTCAACCTAGAATATTCAGTCTAAAACATTTCTCATACTAGAACATTAGGTTAAACCACTTCCTTCCTAGAATATTAAGTTTAAAATACTTTCCAACCCAGAAAATTATGTTAAACCACTTCCCAACCTAGAGTATTCAGTTTAAATCACTTACCAACCTAGAACATTTAGTTTAAACCATTTTCCAACCCAGAGTATTCAGTTTAAACCACTTACCAACCTAGAACATTTAGTTTAAAACACATCCAAACTAGAACATTTAGTTTAACCCAATTCCCAATAAAGATCATTTCGTTAAACCAACTTCCCAACATAAAATATTCTCTAAATCGCTTCCTTAATCTAGATCATTTAGTTTAAACAACTTCCAAAAGTAGAGTATTGAGTTTAAACTACTTCCCAATCTAGAATATTCAGTTTCAACCACTTCCCAACCTAGAACATTTAGTTTCATGTAACCATTTCCCAAATAGAGTATTGAGTTTAAACCAGTTCCCAACCTAGACTATTCAATTTTAACAACAATCCATCCTAGAACATTTAGTTTCAACCAATTCCCAACCTAGAACATTAAGTTTTAAATAACCACTTCCCAAAGTAGAGTATTAAGTTTAAGCCACTTCCCAATCTAGAATATTCAATTTAAACAATCCATCCAAGAACATTTAGTTTAAACCACTTCCCAAAGTAGAGTATTGAGTTTAAACCACTTCCCAACTTAAGATATTCAATTTTAACAACTTTCCAACCTAGAACATTTAGTTTAAACCACTTCCCAAATTAGAATATTCAGTTTAAACAACTTCTCATCCTAGAACCTTTAGTTAAACTCAACCCCCAACCTAGAAAATTCAGTTAAACCACTTCCCAATTGTGAACACTTCGTTTATCCAACTTAACAACCAGGAATATTTAGTTTTAAACCGTACCCCAGCCTTAAAATACTCAATTCAAAACCACTTCCCAACCTAGAATATTTTAACCAACTTCCCAACATAGAACATTCAGTTCATCCCACTTCCCAACCTAGAAAATTTAATTTAAACCACTTTCAAACCTAGACAATTCAGTTTAACCCTTTTATTTAACCTAGAAAATGAAATTTAAGAATATCTAACCTAACCTACCCTAACCTAGCCTAGCATAGAGTTTTCAGTTTACAAAACTAAAAAAGCCAGAATTTAACATTCACACAGTTTAAACCACTTTGCAACCTAGGGTAGTTTTGTTTAAACCATTTCCAAACCTAGAAATTTTGTGTTAAATCATGTCCTAACCTTGAACATTTAGTTTAAAACACTTCCCAACCTAGAATATTAAGTTGAATCATTTCCAAACCTTAAGCATAGAGTAAAAACCACTTAATTACTAAAATCGAAAGCCATGTTAGGGTGCTTATCAAATTCTTAGACAATTCCATTGGTTTTGTAATTTGTCCTATTTTTGAAGTGACATTTTTGTCAAACCTATTCTTGGTCCAGTGCAACTGTGATTTAACTCTAAATATCAGTATTGACCTCCTCTTATACTACAGTGGTCCATTATGGTAGTTTTGAGTACCATTTCATTTCTAAGATGTAAAAATTAAGATTTCATCTTAGCTGACAAACCTGAGTCACTTAGTAATTTTTCACGAATGAACAGGCTGACAGCTAGGATTTCAATCTCAAATAATTCTGAGATCTGGAAGGTCTATCTATAGAATAATACCCAACCCTTACTTCTTATTACAAGTTTTTTTTATCTTTTTCTCGTTTCAGGAGGGGTGTGCTCATAAATTCTCGTATATTCCAGGGTTAATGATTTTGATGATCTAAGAAGAATTAAAAAATTAGAAATAATTTTTTTCTTTTTTTATGATTTTTCTAAAAATTATTTATTTTCCCCAAAAGATGATGTTTACGTAGAATTAATTTATATTCTTGGTGTTTAGATTATTGTACAACAAAAGCCCAAGGATTCTGGTCTCAGCGCGGAAGTCAAGACTGCCAAGCTATCGATGATAGGAATTTTATTGAACTTCATCTTCTTGTTTTTAAAATGAAGAACAAAATAAGACGTTTTTGTCAACTTACTTTTGATTTGTGTCAAAACTTTTTAATGCTCAGAAAATTTAAATTTTCACCGTTAAAAACTAAAGAAATTAGTGTGGGATNTTTTTTATTTTTTTTTATTCTACAATCTAATTATTTTCTTCTTACAAATTATTTTTTTTAATTAGCAAGAGAAAATAATCCTATGCATCTTAGTTGCCGGTGAAAAAAAATATTTTTAATGTTAATGTGTTTCAATGTGTCACAATATATTCCTGTAGATCTAGCTGGGAGTGAGAAGGGAACTGCTACAGGACACAAAGGAGCCAGGTTCAGGGAGGGAGCTAATATCAACAAATCTCTTCTAGGTCTGAATACAACATAATGTTTAAAGAAAAATAGATTCATAATTCTTGGAAAGTGTTTGTTTAAATATGCTACAATTTCTTGCTAGGAAATTTTTGGAAAATTAATAGAACTCAGATTTATTTTGTTAAAATTTATTGTGCAGAATTGAAAATGTATTCATATTGAATGAACAACTAATTTTGTTGTAAAATATAAGATTACAAAGATATATTTTGTTCTAGCTCTGGGGAATTGTATAAACGCTCTGGCTAGTGGTTCCAAGTATATTCCATACAGAGCTTCCAAACTCACCAGGCTTCTCAAGGACTCAATAGGTTGGTACAAACTTAAAATATATCTCAAAAATATTTAGAAATAACAAATCTCTCTGTGAGGGAACCTGGACAGTGCCGGACACTTCAGCTAGTACCTCTTTTAGCTCGTACTAAGAACACTCAAAGAAATTAAATTACAACAGATCGTCATTATTAATTGCGTCGCAAGAGAGAATTTATATATAAAGCTGTCCCGCCTAGTCATGCTTAGTAATCATAGACTTGTACAATTATCTACTGGTTACTGTTCAATACGCTGTCCCGTCTAGTCATATTTAGTTATCATAGACTTGTACCATTATCTACTGGTTACTGTTCAATACGCTGTTCCCTCTAGTCATATTTAGTAATCTTAGACTTATACCATTATCTACTGGTTACTGTTCAATACGCTGTTCCGTCTAGTCTTACTTAATAATCTTAGACTTGTACCAGTAGCGGCGCATGATATTTTCCAGGTTGGGGGAAATAATTGAATTATTGAAACCCCCGCCCCGGAATATTTACAGGGAATTTCGTCATTTAAATGTCAAAACTATGACCAGCTGGGATTGGAAGGTGGAAAGTGTGTTAGGAAGATTTGTATTATTATTTAAAAAATCTTAATTTTGAGTGAAAAAGTTATGCCGTGTAGGCCATTTTTTTTTATCAATTTTTATTAATCCTTAAAAATTAAAATTTAAGGACTAGAAGGTGTCTGCTCTCTCTTCTTGCTCTCCTAGTTTTTTAGGGGAGGGGGGGACTTCCCCCAGTTCTCCAGGGAGGGGACCGACCCCCATTTTTCTAGGGAGGACGTCCCCCTCTTCCATAATAAGCCGCCTCTAACGTGAACCATTGTTATATTGTTAAGGGGGTAACTGTGCAACTGTGATGATTGCTAATATCTCCCCATCTAGTCAAACATACGAGGATACACTCAATACCCTCAAGTACGCAGATAGAGCGAAGCAAATTAAGGTATTAATTGTCAAGCTCAGGTATAAAAATATGTACAAGTTTAAATGGCTTTCCAAGCTATGTTAAAACCTATTGAAAGATATCCCCCCCACAAAAAAAAAAATTATATCACAGCGGTGGGCGATTATATCAATACAAGTAAGACGACTTTCGATTACAATTATGATTTATATCAAACTTAAACAGCAATGATACACATAAAAATGGGAAAGAGATTAAAAAAGCTTCTCTTTAATTACTTGTAAACTTGTATTTCGAAAGAAAAAACTTAAATAAAAAAATCGTTTTCATTGTATTGATATTATCGCGTACCACTGTGTATTGGGAAATAAATTTTCAAGAAATTATTTACTTTGTATTATAAACCCATTGAAAGTGGGACGATGGGACGCTAAGACCCAAGTCAAACTTTCAGAAAATTTACGATTTTGCTCCGTTTTTTCATATCATAAAAATATCCCTTTTTAGATTGATTTGAAGAAGAATGTGATGAACGTTGACTTCCACGTAGCACAGTATGCCAAGATTGTTGAAGATTTGAGGTAGTTTATTCAAAACCTTGTCAAGTAAATGAAATTAAGTCGGAATGAGATTTTAGTGATAATTAACAACAGTGCCTTAATAACTGTTGATAACCAAGTCGCGGAATTGTCATTACTCATTATGTTGCCTATACATCGATAAAATTTCTTGGTTCACTTTGTTCTAGAAATTTATGAATCGCTCTCACAAAAACCACTTGCTGCATCATGTAAATCTGAACTATCATCTTCATTTATACAATTATGAAGGATAAAAGCTCATGTTTTGTAATATATTTTTCTAAGGTTCACATGGTTAATTGCCTCTTTATGTATTGTTTGTTTTAGAACTGAAATTGTTGCCCTGAAAGATAAGTTAAAGAATCTTGAGTTAGAGAATGAAGAATTGAAACATGGTAAAATTCAGGTCTGAATTTCATTTTTTTTTTTTTTTTCTTAAATTTTTTTATCAATTATCAATTTTTTATTCATATTTTTAACAGATAACTTTAATTTGTACAATGTACATATTTTATGATAACAGTTCTTTCTACCAGTTTGTTCTAATAAACCCCAACTTTATTAACTTCATTAATTTGTCCGATGTAGATGAATTATTAGTTTGCACCCCCGATACCCCGAGCAATTTTGACTTTTCTGACATAACAATTTTTCTTAATTTTCTCTTTAATCATAATGCATGTCTCGGTACAAATCTTGAATTCCTCTAATCCCTTTTTTTTAAAAGTTCACACTTTGGAAAGTTTAGAATATAGATGTGAATATCAGATCTTTTAAATCCCATTTTAACAATCTCTTATTCAACCTTTGAATTATCTGTAAGTTGTTAAGATGATAAATATGAAAAGTGTCAGATCTCTTAAATCCTATTTTAACAATCTTATTCAACCTTTAAATCATCTGCAAGTTGTTAAGATGATAAATATCTAAAGTGTCAGTTCTCTTAAATCATATTTTAACAATCTTATTCAACCTTTGAATTATCTGTAATTTGTTAAGATGATAAATATGAAAAGTGTCAGTTTTTTTAAATCCTATTTTAACAATCTTATTCAACCTTTGAATTATCTGTATAATACTAAGATCATAAATATTAACAGTTTAAGTTCTCTTAATTCACAGCTTAATTCACAACTTATTCAACCGTTGATTAATCGGTAAGAGAGTTAAAATGATTAGTATAAAAAGTGTTTGTTATCTTAAATCCAGTGGTGTAGAGGCAGAAATCCTCGAACGAGGCTTATAAATTCTGCAAATAAGTAGAAAAACGGAAAAAGGGGGAAGGGAAGGGGAAAAGGAAGAGGAAAAGGAAGAGAAAAGGGAGAAGAGGGAAAGAAAAAGAGGAAGAGGTAAGGGAAAAAAGGAAGAGGGAAGGTGAAAATGGGAAAAGGGAATGGAAAAGGGGCAAGTTGGAAGGGAAAAGAACAAAATTATAAAAAAAATATCAAAAAATGCGTAAAAAAACTTAGGGGGGCCTTGAAGTTGACTATTTTAGAGCACCAAAACTAACAAATGAAATTACACTACTAAAATCCAAAATCCAATGTCAGTTATCTTAAATCACTGTAACTTAATAATCATATTCAACCGTTGTTGAATCTGTAGAATGTTAAGATCATAAATATAAAAAGTGTTAGTTCTTTAAAACACAGATAAACAATCTTTTTCAACCTTTGAATGTTAGATGATAAATATGAGCAGTATCAGTTCTATTAAATCGTAGATAAACAATCTTACTTAAGCTTTCATTAATCTGTAGAATGTAAAGATGATAAATCTGATTATTCTGTAGAATGTTAAGAATATAGATTTGAACAGTGTTAGTTCTCTTGAATCACAAACAATTTTATTTAAACGTTGATTAATCTTTAAGACGTTTAATAAGATGATAAACTAGAACAGTGTTGTCTTAAATCAGGGATAAAAATCTTGCTTAACGATTTATCCATCTTTACTGTAGGACGAGGAAATGGTAGATTTGAACAGTATCAGTTCTCTTAAATCTCAGCTTAACAACCTTATCCTACGACAACAGGACTACGATAATTTAAAGGTTTGTTAAATAACTATTTTCTATTTATCTCAGCCCAGAAAATAATTGACAAAACTGGTTTATTTTAATTCAATTTCCAATTATATAGAAATTTTCGAATTCAGGCTCGAATGGCGGAGTGGGAAAAATCTGGTTCGAATGATTCTTCCTTGGCGGCGGAGATTGAAAGGTTGAAGGCGGAGAATAGTTCGTTAAAAGCCGAATGTCTGGGATTGAAGTTCAGTCGGCCTATCCTGCAGAGCATTGTTAAAGGAATATATTCAGTACTTTGAACCCCCCTCCCCTCATCCCATAATAATTATGGATACCTACTCTACTTTCTTGCACCTAATATTTTGTGAATTATGAATATAATACTACGATGTTCTTTTCATTGCATGTTCTTAAACTGATTGAAAAAAAGTTTTAAAAAAAAACACTATATTTGCCAAATTCACTTAGGGTACCCTTTAAACCTTTATCGGAACAATAATGTGGAAAATATCGTAGTTTTTCTAGCTTGAAACATGTTTACTGTTTAGTCCTATTGTTTATGTAGCAGAAAGCCGCAAGTAATTTTTTTGTAGAAACGCCATTTGAAATTAATCAATTTTTATCTTAAAAAACTTGATGATACCAAGCTTATAAGAGGGACGTTGTGAATCATTCATCCCACTTTAAAATTGAGGGTAATTTGAATTTCGTCGCTTACAGTACCAAATTATTTTACTCTAAACCTTTAGTGTAAACTTAATTGACTGTATATAAAGATGAGAGTGAAGATAACATACTTGTATCCCTGCTAGAGGAGAGAAGGATACTTGTTAAAAATATTGGAAATGAAAAATCTCTGATTTCGTCTCTTGAACTCAGGTTAGGAATATTCTTTCTTCATTTTGAGAGAAAATGATGATCTATGCCTGTGAGAATCATTTTAATACCACCCACCTTTTGTATTTTAATTTAAAATACCATTCATAATAATATCTTCAACATTTACAGAACTGAGTCTTTTGTCTCATCTAATCCAACAGTTTATTTTTTATTTTAGGGTTCATTTTACAAAGATGCAAGATGAGAGATCTGAAATGATTTGCTTAGATCAGAAGGAAAAGGTAAAACATCTGTTTTTGTTGTGTTTTTATATTACGCGTAGGGAATATTTTTCAAATTCGATTATTCCATTCAGGAGCGTATATTTTTTAATCCTTTTTGATACTTTTTACCAAATTTTGAATTTTTGGACCGAAAATTATGGTTTCGACGAAACTTAAAAGAGAACCATGCCACTCTTTTTAATGGAGGGCGACTTAAAAAATTACGTCTACATTCCCTTTAAGATGTGGATAGATATATATTTGGTAGGAGAAGAGTGTCGTGAAGACTAGAAAGAAGGTAGAGTCTACTCAGAGGAAAATTGAGAAGAAACAAGAGAGAATATCAGCTTATCTACAGAAACTAGGTCGGTGGTAAACTATTAAGAAGTTTTAGGACTACAGGGGTGTATACTGTATACTAGGGTAACACATTAATGGGGTTAAAACAAACAATTTTAGGTGCATAGGTTCTTTGGGTGTTGTGGCCCAATATGAGCTAATTTTATGCTGATCGGAGCATTGCATCAGGTGGTTTTTGAGTGAAGGGCAATGACCCCAAATTTTCTTTGTGATCTAGGTAGAGTGTTACAATGGGAGGGTGCATGCAAAATTTCAGCCTTTTATCTCCATTTTTAGAACCAAATACAGCCTGTACAAAATGTGGTGTCACAAAGTGTCGAATTGTCCCACTTTCCTTAACAACAATCGAGTTCATCAAGTTAGAGCAAAATATGTTTTTGCATTTCAATACTAAGGGTTGACATCACCAAGAGAACCTATAGAGCTTTTCTACGTATTTATTATATTTGAAATATTGTTACTATTTTTTTTGTGCCGAACAAGAGATTTTTAAAGATAAAACTCAAGCTTTCATTAAGTGCCCAAACTAGTCAAAACATGCTGATTGTACACATAAACCGCTGATGACTGATGACTTTCGTTATTTTGTTGTTAGTTTCATATTATTGATCAGTTATTGTCAATATCCAGGGCATTAATCTTGCAATGTTGCTAAACCCCGTTTAATTTTAGAAACTCTAAGTGAACGGATAAATGACGAAATCAGCAAGAACCCAAGCAGTACAACGGCAAGGCTGGCTTCCATGCAAATGGCCTTGGAGGATCATAAGGTGGATTTTAACTCATTCTTTTAACTCATCTTACATATATTTGAAACCACTGTTTTTTTTCTTTCAATTTTTAATATAAAACGTGAAATATAATGTTCGGCAAGAAATGAAGACCCTAGCGAGGTTCAGGTTGAGCTTAGCCTTGATAGTATTTTCTAAAAACATCAGATAAAACTTCTTTCTGGGTTTTGAAATCACATCAAGTCCTAACAACTTTCCATGAGGTCTGAAATTAATAGATAGTTATTGAACTAGTTCATGTTCTCCGTGATATCTTCCTAAGATGTATTGAACCTATCTACTGTCTAGGTTGAGAACGGACTGCTCCATGTGGTGGTCCACAGTATGGAAGGAGAACTAAACAGAATGCATGCAGATATGTCGGCTTCTCTACCTATCCTTGCTAAAAACGAGAAACTACTGCGAGGTCAGTACTCAGTGTGCAACAAGTTTTATTTATTTATTTTTTAGTTCAAACAACTGTTTCATCCTGAAAAATATTAACTTCAGATGGCAATGCCCGATTCACAATGGTACCTTTAAAATCTTTGTTCAAGTATGAATTAGATATCATTGTTTATATTTTTGAAAACTGATTATTTACAATTGTAAGCTCTGTACGAAAGTGACTTGCGTATTTCTACTGTAGGAAAACATAAAGAAATCATCAGATTTAATCACTTTTAAACCTGGAAAAATGACAATATCTTCCACATTATAGATCAGATAATGGTTTGAAGGGTACCGTTGTGAATCATGCACTGCTATTAAGATTTCTAATCAACGATGTATAATCTGTATTGTTAAACTTTAAAGCGTTAGTTTAGATGACCCTCCTTGTGAGGCATTTTTGCATGGAGGATCACTTGAAATTATGTTTATAGTCCCTTTAATTGAAAAAAACCTTCTTCTCTTATTCTATTAATTACAGGACATGGCATCCAGAGTAATTCTGATAAACAGCGGTATGCGGAGCTACAGTTACTAGCAACACATAATTCATTCATTTTAAATCTTTTCATTTCTTCTTTTATTAATTAAGTAGTGTTCACTGTTCATGATCAGCTGAATCCGCGTTATCTTGTTTCTCCGGATCCTTAAGTTATAAATAGGATCCAAACGACAAAAAATCTGAAGACCTGAATATGCTTTTATCTTAAATTTTGAATATTCCAAGATTTGTAGAAATCCTCTGATAGCTCAGTGTTAAATCGAGTTTCTTTACTAAGAATAGGAGAAGAAGAAACATTTCGGAAATTCTTATTCGTAAATGATGTTGCTAAAACTTGGCGAGACATATTTTGAAATGGATCCAGATCCGGACCTGGATACGGATCCAAGATTCGGATCAGTATCAAAATAAATGGATCTTAAGCAAGCATTGTGACTCTTAAACTTGAAAACATTTATAATTTCCCCAAAAGCATGATGTTTCCTTAAGACGAAAAAAGTGAAAAAGTACATTTGGTTTCTTTTTCCTTTTTGTTTTGTGATAATTGAACTAGACCTTTTTCTACTTTTTCTATCTTGTTATTTGTATTCCATTTTCACATGTATTTATCAACATATCAACTTATCATTTTTATTGTTTTTTTACGAAACTAATTGTTTAGGACCGTATCCTGGGGGTTAGACAAATCACCTGGGCTGAGAACCTTAATAATTCAGGCATTTACTTTCATAGCATTGGATTGGATTGGATTGGATTGGATTGGATTGGATTGGATTGGATTGGATTGGATTGGATTGGATTGGATTGGATTGGATTGGATTGGATTGGATTGGATTGGATTGGATTGGATTGGATTGGATTGGATTGGATTGGATTGGATCGGATCGGATCGGATCGGATCGGATCGGATCGGATCGGATTGGATTGGATTGGATTGTTGCTTTTGTCGCGAAAATATTAGAATAAAAATATCATTAGATTTTATTTTCATCATTTTGGCTATGTGAAATTCAAAAAACATTTTGGTTATTGCGGTTAAACGTTCAGTGGGTCCAAACAATCAAAACAAGGAGGACCTAAAAACTTATCTGTAGTAAAAAATATATAAAATTCGTTTCAACCAATCTTACTTTTTTGAAATATTCAACTCTATGATTGTACTGCAAATATAGAGAGCGTGGAACTGGTTTTATCTGTTTACCAACAATGCGCCAGGATATCCCTACCTCATCTTATACCAGCAACAAGGAAAACAGGATGATAAACGTTTTAAACTCATTTTAAAAATTATTAAAGCCATGTTTCGTAAAACAAGAAAATAAAGGATTAGAGGCTTTGCCACAAACTCGAATTTAATAATCTCTGATATTTCAAACTTAGATTATTTCATACAACAGAATTCAAAGTATGAAATATGTAAGGTCTACGACATTAGGTTGCATATAGTTTAGAAAATCGCAGTTTGTAGCAAAACTAGATTCATTTATTCTGTAAAATATAATTTAGATTTAGAGAAGTAGAATTAGTTAAATTTTACTAATTTTTGAGTCTTTTCTTCTGTTGATTCGTAAGAGAACCGATTTTCTTAACCCCTTTATCCAGTTTTTAAACTGAAAGCTGTACATTACGATTTTTGAGTCTTTTATAATGAAATCCACCTCGGATTGATATTTTGAATTTTTATATTTAAGTCTTGCTGTTAGATAAATGGTTAATTAAACTAAATTGACAATATTGTGGAATAAAATTATCATGTTTGCTGTATAAAGGGCTGAGAGCGTAGAGAAAAGAGTTTTATACTCTGATGAAACAATGGCTAATTCCACAACCCTACTGGTAATTTTACAGGATCTCTTCAACAATAAAAAGTTTAATTAAAAACATTTTTAATTGAAATGTTAGCCATGTATGATTGCATACACAGTTAACTTTACTCCTGTGGGAAAAACTTTTGTTTGAAAAATCTTTTAGCTCTAGCATTTAACTTGACATGGGACAAACTTTTAACTTTAGTTTTACTCCTTTAATTGGTTTAAACCATCAAAGGGAAAGGTAACCGGGGATGGGAACTTTGTGTGAATAAGTTATCACTGCAGCGTATGACTGTCACAGGATATTTAAGAGGAATTGATTAACATAAGGTGGAGATCAATGCTTGATCCCTTTACAGTGTTCATACAACACAAGTTCTGACTGCGGTGTAGTGTTTTTATCTCAGATTTAGGATACAGAAGTTTGTCCTCTCTTATTATATCTAATATTCATTACAGGAACAAATAAAATAAAATTGGCTTTACATACATTTCTTTAAATTGTGAGCGAAAATGTAAGTTTATGTCGAGTCGTTGATTGTACACTACATATTACGTCTATTCTATTTATAGACCAAAGTATGCAATTGTACACTCATTGAACTTGTTAATTTTTACTTTAAAAATTGTTGGGGGGCTATTATTCCTTCCACCTGGGCCAGGGGGGGGGGGGGGGGGTATCATATATTGTAAGATTCTATTTTCAGTTTCAATATCGATCCATGAATTTCGACTATGATTGTTAGATTTGCTGTTTTATTATAAAATAATTAAGGGATGTGACGAGATGAATTCTGGGATTGAACAGATAAATTCAAGGCCCTTCCTTCCAATCTTTGCCTCAGATGCTCCTTCTTCGACCACTCATCCAACCATCAATATCAGTCCTGCCTCTATACACAAACCCAAGCCTGGAGATGCTAACGAAACCTCTAATGCTGCAGATGATACAGTAGAGATGAATAGATTAGACGACACGGATGAGGTCAGTTCGGGGACCCTCAATCCCACCTTCAAAACAATATTGAAATAACAATTGCAAGTCCAATTTTCCTGATCTTCCTCATCGAATATAAAATGATTTGCTCCAGAATAATTCTCTGAAAAAATATCAAAAATGAAATAGCTAAATTCACAAGATCAAAACCCGTTTTTTTCTTTTTTAGATTGTTTGTGCGACCCCTGTAGTCCCTGTGGTGCGAGCAGTGCGTCCTCTTGAACTGATTCCTGCAACTCCCCAGCTGGTTAGGCAGTCCTCCAACCTTCCACCCGGTAATTCAACTACAAACACATCATTCGTTGTTACTCCCTCAGCAGATATACAAGGTAATATATTCTTATTTAATGGGAGTGTATATTTTTCAGAATTAATGATTTCTGATTATTGAGGGGTGGGAGGGGGTTGGACATCGAAAGACAATTCTTTTCACCCTGTTTGATACTTCATACCCAAAAATTTGATTTTCTCCCTTAAAATCACACCTTTAATTATTTCTCCTAATTCAGCGAATAAAACTGTAAAAAATGGATTAATTCATAGCTATTAAGTGTACACCCCTGATGGAGGGTTCTTTACCTTTTTTTAATAGCTCTTTAAAGAAATCTCGAATCTTTAAAATAAGTGTACTGGCATGAGCTGTACATTGAAGAATAGAGTGATTTTATTGCAACAATATGAATTAAAACATATTGGTGATTATTGGAACGTTCAAAAAACTGCTTTCAAAATTTATCCAAGAACATGATTGAAAATTTAAGCACAGGGAAAAAACAATGGAAGGAAGAGTAGTGCAGAAAACGAATTAAAAGAAAAACTGTGACAGGGTGTGTGTTGACGTGTGAGCACTGAGCACTTTGCTTACTTGCTTTGACCATCATCTTTTTAATTATACATATTGTTAAAAACTAAATTTAAAAGTAAAATCAAAAGTTGTAACAATTTGAGAGATTAAATGGACTGTCGTCGATATTTCAAGTGATCTATCATTTTAAAGAAAAAACATGCCCTTTACACCTTCATATTTGATGAATAGTATGGCAGATTAAAGATTTGTACAATTTCTTTTTAATGAATTTTTAAATATTGGAAACAGATCATAGAAAAATATTCTACTATAATTATTCTTGTCATCATATTTTCCTCTTTTTTCCTTAACTTTCTTCTTTTGTTTTCTGTTCTTTTCGGCAATTTATTCTGTGCTAAATTATGACAATTTTTCTGCACTATCCACATTCATTTTTTATCCAGAGACTTATCCGCATTCATCTTTGATCGACAGACTTATCTACAGTCATCTTTGATCCACAGACTTATCCGCATTCATCTTTGATCGACAAACTTATCTACAGTCATCTTTGATCCACAGGCTTATCTACAGTCATCTTTGATCCAGAGACTTATCCGCATTTATCTTTGATCGACAAACTTATCTACAGTCATCTTTGATCCACAGACTTATCTACAGTCATCTTTGATCGACAGACTTATCCTCAGTCATCTTTGATCGGCAGACAAAGATTTAACCGGACATGCCACATTATTGGAGTGTTACTTGAAATTACGTTAAGTCTTCTACAATTTCGAAAAAGAAAACCAAAAATCATTTATTTGGTTTGTTTTCGTTATGGAATTCACGATTAAGCAAACTTTTTTACAGATGTTTCGTTGAGACCTTCGGAGGCTGTAAACATGACCGTTGAACTCGGAGTTGGTTTTCCAGGGGAGGCTGAGTTGACCGCCCAGATATTTCCTAAACGTCTGGCTGACCGGTTTACTGAGGAGGAGGAGGTTGGAACACCTGGAAAAAAGGTTAAACTTGATTCTACATACTGCTCTGAAAAAACATCAGCCTGGATGTCCCACAGGTAACATAGATTTCATATTTGCAATGGGGCGCTGGGGCGCTCGTCCTATTCTAGGCTAGAAATATATTTTTTCTTTTTGAGTTTGGGAGAGCGGAAAAATTTATTTTGTTTCTCTCACTTCGAAACTGTTCAGAACATGGTCTGGCTAGCTCATATTTTCCGGATTCTTCGGTATTTGGAAATAAGTTGGAAAAACATGAGCTATGAAAAGAATTCGACTGCCTGTTCTAAGCACCCAAATAACCCTGAAAAGTCAAATAACACAAACGCTGAAGAAAAATTATCAAGAATAGGGGACAAAGTCCAGCTCTTTTTCGGCTCCCCTTTTTTCCAATAATTTTTTTTATAATAAGGGGTGGATTATGCTTCAGTATTGTGCGCACTAACTCAATGCCTATTTTTGTCATAACTTAAGTGATTTAGTTTCGGATCTAATATAAATTCAGTATATTAGTTAACCCCCAAAAGTTACCTTCAGCTTCTTTAATTTTAGCATTTGTACTTCCAATTCTTATAATAAGTTTTTGTTATATAATGAAATTTCTATTTTTAGACCGGTAGAAGAGATTCCTGAGAGTCCTTTGTTAAGAAAGTGCAGTAGACAAGGTAAACCGAATATTGACAACTATGCAGAAGGTTCTTAAATAATCATAATATAATTTAATGGAGAACACTAGTGAGGGGTAAAGGCAGACTCACACTTACAAAATTTAAAGCGTGAAGGTTGAACAATTATTTCATTATCGATCAGTATCAATTTTTTTCATGTTTTAGTTACACTCTAAACAGAAGATCTAAATGTTATGAACTCCCACCTCGTAATGGATTTGTAACCAATCATTTAAATTTGTTTTCAATCATTCCATCCAATATTCAAGAGCAGTTCGCAAGGCATAAATACATATCAAAGAGTTGCAATTACCTCTCGTTTATAAATTCCTAACTCGGTTTTGATATCATCTTGATACTTATTTATAACGTAAACATTAATTATAGAAAATCCTGCTGGTGAGAACTGTGGAGCAGATATTAGTGTGAACCTGGATCCATCTAGTCCAGCTCTCTCAGGTAGTTTATACTTCTAGTCCAGCTCTCTCAGGTAGTTTATCCTTCTAGTCCAACTCTCTCAGGTAGTATACTTCTAGTCCAACTCTCTCAGGTAGTTTATACTTCTAGTCCAGCTCTCTCAGGTAGTTTATNCCAACTCCCTCAGTTTATCCTTCTAGTCCAACTCCCTCAGTTTATCCTTCTAGTCCAACTCCCTCAGTTTATCCTTCTAGTCCAACTCCCTCAGTTTATCCTTCTAGTCCAACTCCCTCAGTTTATCCTTCTAGTCCAACTCCCTCAGTTTATCCTTCTAGTCCAACTCCCTCAGTTTATCCTTCTAGTCCAACTCCCTCAGTTTATCCTTCTAGTCCAACTCCCTCAGTTTATCCTTCTAGTCCAACTCCATCAGTTTATCCTTCTAGTCCAACTCCCTCAGTTTATCCTTCTAGTCCAACTCCCTCAGTTTATTCTTCTAGTCCAATTCCATCAGTTTATTCTTCTAGTCCTTCCATGGAACATTGAACAAAATCTATGCTGTTGTTCCAACTGATAAATAATTACCAATTTCTGTTACAGGGTTGAATGAGACGATCACCCTGGTCTCAAAACTAGATAAACAGTGCGACCTAAACTCAGGTACTTCTTCTAAATAAATAAAGGGAGGATCCGTGTTTATTTAAAGGGAACAACTCCTTTTTCTTATTGACAGGTTCTCTTGCACTTTTAATTTGAGTTCGAATTTCCTAAATAAAATAAAATTGGACACTAATGACCTCTAATGAGGTCTCTAATTATCTTTAATGGCCTCGACAAATAGAATATACTTTAGCTGTGGCTTTAAGCATATCAAACGTAAGCTCGGAACCCAGGGAATACAGTAGCAGCGACGAATCCAGTGTTTGGCCTTCAAATGACCTACAATGACCTCCAAATTAAAATTGTTTTAACTATGGCTTTATGCATATCAAACGAAAGCTAGGAACCCAGGGAATACAGTAGCAGCAACGAATCCAGTGTTTGACCTTCAAATGACCTATAATGACCTCCAACGGTCTAGCGGTACCGACAGGACCACTAGGCTCTGTTGAGTGTACTGGAGGGTCTGTGGCAGACTGTCACTGGCTTGTCTCCCACGGGTTTACACTCAGCTCACATCTGAGTTAATGCATGAGAACTACAAACGAACGGGAGCTCAAGTCTCATAAATTCAGATTAGGAGCAATTATTATTATTATGCAATTGATTAATTTGTCACAAAGAGACAAACTTGCATAGTTTTGACCATTTTTCGACCAATTTTTTTAGTTGTACATTTTTAAAATGGGGGGGGGAGGGGAATATTTTTCTGGGAACCTTTTTCCCCTCACACCAACGTTTGTCCAAACATCTTTATTTCTAGTTGAAACGGTGCCAGTAGTTAGTAACAAACATCTGACAATCAACCTTAATTCTACATTTCCAGTAGGTCAGTGCACAATGTACATTGTTTTTATTTACGCTCGTTGGATAATACATTTGTTCATTATTTATAACATGTTTAGGTTTTTTATTTTTTAGTATTTTAAGCAAATGTTTTTTATTTTTAACTTCAATTAATTACTTACATTCTATCTATTATTATGATAGATTTATTTCGTACACAAAGGTAAAATGGTACAATCTGATAAGACAAAGACAAGAATAAAGTATCTCTATATAAATTTGGCTTGTCTATCTGTCTGTTTGTTTGTCTGTTTGTTTGTATCCAATAAACGTCAAAACGGCTGAACCGATCGGGTCAAAAATTTTTGTGGGACATCACGCTGAACCGACCGGGCCCAAATTTTTTGTGGGACATCACGTGACCACAGGGAAGGTTTATGAATGATAAAAAATTTTAAAAAATGTGTTTTAAAGGTTTTTAATTTTGTAAAAAAAAAAAATTCTTGAAAATCCGCGATTTTTTTTAAAATATGCAAAAAAAATTCTTCTTTGTTAAAAATGTAAACATAAAGAACATGTTCACAATTAAAATAGAAGATGGGCGCGAAGCGCCCTAGAAGCCTAGTAATATATAAATATATCTATCTTTATATTTACAGTTGAAGAGGCGATGGATGTGGACAGTACAAAATCTTTATCTAACATTAGTTTAATTCAACCTCCACCTCCAGGGTAAGTTTGATCTTTGATCCACAAATTTATCTTTTTTAAGATATTGTAAGCGTAATTTTAACTGACCCTCGCTCTGTGTAAAGATGTCAATGTACCCCTGAGACCTTTATCTAATGAATATGGTGGACGATATTGTTGTTTTTCCAAGGTTGAAAGTGACGGTTAATTTCTAATAATTCCGTTATGTTCTCATGCAGTAGAAATGCAAAAGTCACTTTTGTAGAGAAACCCAGATTAGAAATAAGCCGTTATAAACATTCATATCTAATTAATAAGGAAGCCTTTATGGGTACGCTTGTGAATCGGGCATTGCCATCTGTGAATTGAGGGTCACTTGAAATTACGCTTACACTCCCTTAAAGAAGTGTTTATAAGCACTGAAATTTTATTTATTTTTTTCTCCAATTTTTCACCTTAGTTGCATATAACCCAATTTTTTCCGATTCTCTTCAATTTTTTTATTAAAACTCGTTCTTTTACACCAATGAAACCCGGAAAGTCTGATTAGTAAACATGGTCGCCAGGAAAGCAGCATTTAAAAGTGGCGCAACGCATCCTACATTTGTAATAATTTTACGAACAACTTTTTATTTTATTTAGGAGTGTTCGTCTAGCTCCTTCCCCCAGATCCCCTGTCAGAGCTGGACTAGGTATTTCACCAACAGGAATTCCGAGACGTGCTACACCATCACCACTAAGGTAAACACCTGCCCCCCCCCCCACACACACACACACTCACACACACACAACATCTAGATGATTAACAATACTTTCGCCAAACGTAAACCCCCTTTCCCTTTAGATAAACAAAACAATATACAAATCCTTTCTACTGGATGAAATAATCGTAGTCATGTGTAGATATTTAATTTTTTCAAACATAAGATAAGAAATCTTTTAAAAATGTAGAATGCAAACTTAATTTGAAGCGTTCTGTTTCTTATATTTGTTTCTATTTCCAGACAAAGTACGTTGTTGGACTTAAAGTCAGATTCCATGCCCGCGCCTCAACAGAGAAAAAGTCCAGGATCAGGGTAAAAAAATATTTTAAATTTTTTAAGAAAAATTAATAACTTAACTTAACATTCAGCTTTTTTTTCAGGTTTAAACCTTCGAATCCTCGTCCCCTTGTAAAGCCGGTAAGTTAAAGTAATGTCCTTTCTTACATTTTTCTGTAGTGAATTTGCATTAAAATTAAACACACGCCGCCAGCCAGAAACTTTTTTGCAAGTTTTATTGTACACAATGAAAATTAAATAAAAGTGGTAATGCTACCAAAAAATGAAATTTTTAATCACAATCTGTTCCAAGTACAGAAAACATAATTATTACTTATTGTACAGGGAATGAAGAAGAAGTTGGGGAGTTCCGCGTCTGCCAGTGTACTGCCTCGACCTGGTACAACGGGGCCAGTGTCTTTCAGGTATAGTACACTACACTACACTACACTAACAGAACAGGGATTAACGAAGACACGATTGTTTACATAATTAGTAAAAAAAAATACAAAAAATCTAATTTCTTCACTTTTCTGACAAATTTATCTATTGGCAAGTTTCTCTAATATTTTCAATTAAAAATGAGCAATATAATTACGTTTCAAGACATTTTAGATAAATAATTTTATTGCAGATCGACTATACAGAGACTAAATGGGAAGGAACCAGGTATGGCAAAATTTCTTTAGAACGTGATAACTTCCGTTACATTATTAAAATTGCATATTTGTCTATTCATTTTCGTCGGAAGATAGATACTTAGTTCCGTAATATTTCGTATTTTTTATATTTAGTATAACATGATTAAAACTACAATTTTATGGCATCTATAAATTACGGATTCAACTGCCAAACGTTAAATAAAAAATAGGTGTCTTTTCAATAGATTGTGTATTATAGATTGTGTATTACACACACCGAAAAAAGTGTGTTCATGCGAAAATGTGCTCGGACTCTTTTTCAAAGATTTTCAAAAAGATTAAAATTATAATTTTATATTTCGTTTTATTTGACATAACAGAATAAATTCAATAATTTCAATGATATATTTGAGGATTTTTCAAATTAAAAGACGTAAAAAGATTTTTAATTTTTTGAATATCTTTTGATAAGGGACCAACTACGTTTCGAGTACATTTTGAAGACATTTTAGAGTAAAATGTTTCAATGACGACCCCCCAATTTATCGTAATTGTACCAACTAGGCACACATTGTAGTAGAATAAAATGACGTTTAGTGGGTGAAAACGCAATTAATTCTTCGGAAGTGGGACTGAGCACATATCCGAATATTATGCCTAATTTTGAAGGTTAAAACGGCATTTTAGAGAAAAATGTTTCATCCACCCCATTGCTGGGTCTTGTATAATATACTAGAAGCACTTTTTAACACAATACAATGATATTCAGTGGGCTAAAAAGTCTAAACACACTTTTTTCAGAGAAACCTTATATTATTTGTTTTTAATCCAGTTCTTCTCAGGTGATATATTAACGTATATAATTGTACTTCAGTCATGTTGCTAATCCAAGAGATGCATGATAAAGTCATGATGCCCATGATTTCTTTGCGTAATACATTAAGCTATATATTGTTTTTGTAGATGGCGCCGGATCTAATTATATGCAAGGGACAGCGTCAAGCAAGTTCAAGATTGACCGTAAGCCTGCTGGGTCAAAGGTACATTTCCATGTTTACATTTTTTCCTTGATACCGTATTCAGTGCTTTTTTCATTAAGTTTCTCTTATTTATTTTGACACCCTACATTAACTTCTCTCAAAACCTTGTTTGAGGTTTTTTTCATTAAGTTTCTCTTATTTATTTTGACATCCTACATTAACTTCTCTCAAATCCTTATTTGAGGTTTTTTCATTAAGTTTCTCTTATTTATTTTGACACCTTACATTAACTTATCTCAAATTCTTATTTGAGGTTTTTTTCAATAAGTTTCTCTTATTTATTTTGACACCTTACATTAATTTCTCTCAAATCCTTATTTGAGGTTTTTTCATTAAGTTTATCTTATTTATTTTGACATTCTACATTAACTTCTCTCAAATTCTTATTTGAGGTTTTTTTCATTAAGTTTCTCTTATTTATTTTGACATCCTACATTAACTTCTCTCAAATTCTTATTTGAGGTTTTTTTCATGAAGTTTCTCTTATTTATTTTGACATCCTACATTAACTTCTCTCAAATCCTTATTTGAGGTTTTTTTCATGAAGTTTCTCTTATTTATTTTGACATCCTACATTAACTTCTCTCAAATCTTTATTTGATTTTTTTTAGAAAGTTCACCTCTTCTCCCAGTAAATTATATTTGTCTAAAAAATCGATTAAAAATTATAATAAATCCAAAGCTAAACAATAAACATTATGAAGTGTGAAACTATGACACACTTTTTATAATTAAAAAGTCTTCAGACCCATCCTGCACCCGCCGTTAAGTGGAAAAACTTTTTTTTCGATATTAATTAATGCTAGCGAAAAATGTGTCGTAATATAATACTTATTGAGTATAAAAATATTTGTCATTAAAACACTGCACTAGCTATTTTAAGGCGCGTCTTTTGATGCCTATATTAACAATTAACACATTATGATGAAATTGAAAAATCCACCTCCCTAATGGTTGATAGTTTTTTTTATTTGTTAAATACTAAATAAGTTTCAATTGTTTCAAGTTTAAATGTTGCTTCTATTCAATTTTGTTGCTGTTGAAAAAACTTATTTTACCCCTAATATTATCCTGACTTTAAAATTTTTTATATATTCTTCATTTTCAGGGTGTTGAGAATCCTGGTGGTAAGAAACTTGGGCTAAAGAGAACAGTTTCAGCTGTTCTTAAACATACCAATAAATAGAGATATATTTTACATTTAACATACTTCTTTTATCTGTAAAAATAACAACCAAATTTAGATTATTAGTTAGAGACTTAAATCCACGATAATATTGTAAGTAAATAACATGATATTAAAAGATATAATTTACTAGAACTTGGAAGCTAGTTTTTTTTGGTTAATATAACTTTATTGACAAATTAATGTTTTTTACTACTAAACCCCAGTTTTACTGGATGTCATGTTATTTAAACTATGCTTATATATTTTCTATCGTAAAATATAGTAAATATGTATTTTGGGCTTGTTTCATTGTACTGAAAATATTTTATGATAAATTGTTTGTTTTTTATATTTGACATTTAAATTAAATTTTAATTGAAAATCTTCGTCTTTTCAAAGCTTTGTGACAAAATTTTAACGTGAATACAGTTAGGTTGCTGATTTAACATGAATCTTAGTTATTATGTATCAACGATCCATTCGATCCATTCGATCCATGATGATGTTTCCTATGGAACATGGATCCAGATACAACTAAATAATAAGTGCAGATATTCTGTATTGATTATATTCCCTTTTTACTAAAACTTCATGGACAATGTGACCCACAAGAGATCCATGCATACAATATTTTTATCTTGTTCGGATCCAAATTACTGCAACTTACATTGGTGCAGTGGTGATATAACAATACTATTAATTGTGAGTAAACTTCCTGCTTCCTGTTCTACAAGTAGATCTATTTGGGAGCTTATAAGGTTAAAAGAAACTTTGATTTGTAAGTACAGGGTGTCTCAATAAACATGGGTATTCAGTGACGACTTTTTTATCGGTTTCGATCTATGCGAAATTAATGAACACAATTATTGCAGTATTCCAGCTTATATTTCTATTATCGAAAACGCCATGGTCTTGAGATTGTCTTTAATATCTAATATTTCGTCAATTTTTAAGTTGCCAGAAAAGTAGACCACTTCATGAAAAGCTCGTCAGACATATAGCCTAATATTTTTTTACTTTGCCATGCATTAAATATCAGAAATCAAAGACGACTTTCAAGTAATCTTTCAATTCTCATGTTTTTTAGGACACCCTGTACGAAATTTTGATCTTTAATAGAGGCGTCTAGTAATGGAAAAAACAGTGAACAATTACCTATTTCATGTTTTGCTGGATATTAAACTTGCTAGCAGAACGAAAAAAAAATAAAATTTCAAGTTTGACCAATTAAACTTGTATAGTATTGTCAATAAATTGCGAAGTAAAGAAAAAAGGGTTCTACATATTCATATCTCGAAGAAGATGGAGGAGTTTACTGGACTCTCTTACTCCGACAGCGGAGGTCTGAGTCGGCAAGTAAGTAAGTAAAAGTGGCTCATAATAAAATTGGTTTCCTCGCATTGTTTAACTGAAATGCTTACCCCACCTCGCAGGAATAATGAATGTCTGGATGATGTGAGATATGTTCGGGTAAACAAGTCTCCTAGATAGAAGGAAAGAGACTGGTCACTGATATAGACTACAATGTGCTCAAGGAAGGGTCGTGGACGAGAACGAGGTAGAGGTTTGCGTCACCCTAGAGGGTCAGCATTCGGCAAATGAGGTATCCCTGCTCTGGATAATCTTCCCTAGCCTCAAACCAACATTGTCGAAAGGAACTGAGTTATTGAAACAAACTCTTGTTTTAAATCTCTAGCTTTACCACCCGATGTCGTAGACCTTTGATATTTAAAACTATGAATTCTCTTGAATTTAGTAGTCTAAGTTTGAAATGTCAAAGGTTTACTTCTTCCAGTTGTGAAAAAATAGGAATTGATTTTAACTACACTCAACTATCTTTTAATCCTTGCAATTTTGTTACAAACTTATTTTTTTTTAATTTTCGCAAACCAGGTTTGTCTAAAATTTTGTTTTTATAAACATTTTTCTGAAGGAATAGTTTTTGCTTCAGTTGTTAATTAAAGATGTTTTATTATGTATGGGCGCACAGATTATTATCGTAACACAATCACAATCATTACGATTGTGTACATAACACTCTCTGTTAAGACCTTAAATAAATCCTGTAATTTAGGTTTTAAAAAAGGTTTTAATATATATGTTATTTATTACTTCTGTCAATGAATTAATTGTTAACATTTATAAGCTAAAAACTATTATGAAGGTACACTTAACTTTTTTTAGTTTTTACGTATTCATTATGTATACTTACTTGGCAGTTAAAGATTATATACAGATTATTGGGAAACATATTGCATAAGAATATAAAGATTAAGTTCAATTTGCACCAATTGAATTGGATTCAGTATTACTTGTATAAAGCATATAAACTCAAAAACAAATATTTGTAATTATTAAACATTCATTAATTTTATGTGAACGAAAAGCATAATGTACAATTCAATAACTAGAATGCCCGCGATTAAGATATTAAGCAGTATATGAAGAATAGATATTTAACAATATAGCAAAGTAAGTGCTCTGTGCACTGACACCGCGTCTTTTTCAATCCATTAAATGTTTCTTCGGAATATTAAGTTTTAGGTTAATATTCTTTAATGCTTTGAATAGATAATCCAGTGTTTGTTGCATTTTTTATGAAATAATTCGGATTTTAATTTGGTAAAAATATATGTTTTTTTTGTGTGAGATGGGGGGCTGATTATATCAAGAAAATATGTCCTTAATATAGCTTCTACAGTCATTGACAGCACACATGACTGGGCATGTTAGAGAGTGCACTGTTGGCAGTTTATGCACTATTCATCTTCTTCCTTCCGCTAAAATGATCTTCTATCTCTGCCAGGTTTCTTCCTTTAGTCTCAGGTAGGAAGAAGAATACAAAGAAGAACCCTGCCAGGTTGATGGCAGTGTACAACCTGAAAATACGTTGGTTGGTTCCATAGCGGGCTATTTTGTGTGAAATGGGGCGTCATTTTATTAGTAATTTCATATTATTACGTCCTCCATTTTTGCCAAATATTCGGTCTGTAATTTATTAATATTCTTTGATGAGTTCTTGGAATTCAAAATTTCCTTTTTGCCAAATATTTGTCATAATTTCTTACTGATTAATAATATAATTTAACTAACTGACTAGGGAACAAATTCGAATTTTAAAGAAAAAATGTTGATTTTTTTTTAGCTTATGTTATCCCTGGGGTTTCCATGGGTTACCTCCAAAAATGTCAGCCAATTTGGTCCAACCGTTTGGCCAGCTATAGCTAACATATATATTTCATATTTATATATAAGAGCTTAATTACGTATATAATGGATTATCTCCAATTGAAATTTAAAGCCAAATCAAACTCAGAATACTCTTAGAGCCTTGTCTTTTCTACATGCACATTTTTATATTAGTCTTTTACAATTATTTAAAACGATTCAATCTCATTAAATTTTCTGCTTGGAAACTAAAATACCAATTTACAACTATACACAAGCACAAGGGCGTATACAGGGGGGGGGGGGCTTTCCTCAGAACTCATAGCTATCACGCTTTTTAAACTGAAGAGTGAAGAACATACAAAATTTGTTTGCTGTACATAATTGGGGGTTTGAGGGGAAACCCGTGTTTTTTCTGCTAGTTTTGTATGAAGGAGAGATAAAGTAGTTTTTCAGGGGGGGTCCAAAAATATGTGGCCCCCATTAGATTTATTTTTGTATACGCCCTTGACTATGCACTGTCCAATATGATGTGGAGTACAGAAACGAAGTGTATTGTTACCAGAATACTCCATGGAATGTCATTGCTCTCGTCATATCTGTGAAGAATCTGAGAAGGAAGAAGAGAGTTGTCAGGTTGGTCACAGAGGAGATGGAACCAAGGATATTTCGGTATCTAATAATAATCATTGTAATAATACGACAAACAGAGAAAACCTGGATCTTCAGTGTGAGCTGTATTATTTACTCTCAGACAAAATAGAATCAATGGAAATGATAAACCCGAGGGCGCAGCCCAAGGGTTTATCGCTGAATCCGGAGGGGGTTTAAATTTCCATTGATTCTAATTTGTCTGAAAGTAAATGATACATTCCTTTGTAAAAAATAACAAATTATTTTTATCATTTTTAAAAGGGGCGGGATTAAATGAAAATTGTTGTATACCAAAAAACCAGCTTTTTATAAAGGAATGACAATTTCTTCATGAAGTAAATTGGTCGGGATTGTAATGGTAGATCAGTTATGTGATAAATCATAAATATCATAAATTTAACCTTGTTTAGACTGAACAAGTCTATATTTTGCCTAAATTTGACCTTGTTTGGACTGAACAAGTCTATATTTCAAAAATTTGACCTTGTTTGGACTGAACAAGTCTATATTTTGCCTAAATTTGACCTTGTTTAGACTGAACAAGTCTATATTTTGCCTAAATTTGACCTTGTTTAGACTGAACAAGTCTATATTTTGCCTAAATTTGACCTTGTTTAGACTGAACAAGTCTATATTTTGCCTAAATTTGACCTTGTTTAGACTGAACATGTCTATCTTTCAAAAATTTGACCTTGTTTGGACTGAACAAGTCTCTATTTCATAAATTTGATCTTATTTAGACTGAACAAGTCTATATTTCATAAATTTGACCTTGTTTAGACTGAACAAGTCTATATTTCATAAATTTGACCTTGTTTAGACTGAAAAACTCTATATTTCATAAATTTGACCTTTTTTAGACTAAACAAGTCTATATTTAAAAAAGTTGATCTTGTTTAGACTGAACAAGTCTATATTTTGCCTAAATTTGACCTTGTTTAGACTGAACATGTCTATATTTCAAAAAATTGAACTTGTTTGGACTGAACAAGTCTATATTTCAAAAATTGACCTTGTTTGGACTGAACAAGTCTATGTTTTGCCTAAATTTGACCTTGTTTGGTCTGAACAAGTCTATGTTTTGCCTAAATTTGACCTTGTTTGGACTGAACAAGTCTATATTTTGCCTAAATTTGACCTTGTTTGGACTAAACAAGTCTAATATTTTGCCTAAATTTTCTTTCATGCTCAAAATTTTGCACAGTGCAAAAAAAGCAAAAGTTTTAAAAAAGCGTTTATTTAAAAAATTTTGTTACTTCACTATGTCAAATGTTGACCTTAACAGCAGAAATTTGCAAAAAAAAGATCCAAAAACGATGCCAAAAAACGAACGTGTTGTAGCAATAATTTTTGGGTCGTTTTATTATTTTTTTTACGATAAATATATTGTAAAGTTAAATAAAAGCAGACTTTAACATAATACAGTTTTGAAATCTTGGAAGTCTTATGAAATCTTTTGTCAAAAATTATTTTAAACGATTAATAACTATAAGGACAAAATCTAAATTATCTACATAAACATAAACTCACCTAGCTGGGAAAAGTTCCCCCATTATAAGAAACGGAATAGGACCAAACCCAACAGAAAATCCTTTAAAACAAATGATCATGACAAAACGTTTGCTAGAAACAATTAATTGACTTGTTACCTATAAAAGCAAGAATAATACAAACTAGGGGTAGCCAGCCAATGCTATCCGGCATCAAGGGTTCGCTCCCTTAAACATTTAAAAGAATATTTATTTAGAATTTTAACCTTAACAATAAATATTTTACCTTTAAGATAAAAACAGAGTCCCAGAATACCAATTGATACTGTCATCACCAAGCTAGAATAATTAAGCTTTTTATTTTTAATAAATTTAGATCAGTCGCCCCTTTAAGTCTCAACCTTTTAGGGTAATTCCCGTTTAAGACCTACAGGAATTGAGACTTTGCCACAAACAAAATTTTTTTTTAATCCACATATCTTTCGAATGTATTGCAGTAGACCTATGATATTTCATAGCTTGAAATATCTAAGGTCTCCGACATTGGTTTGCAAGGATATTGGGATTAGAAAATTAGAGATTGTGGCGAAAACTCGATTCCATATAGAGCGCCTGTGCCTGTTCATCTTTTGCCGTGTTTTTACGCAATTGCAGTAGTCTAACCTAGAAATCATGAGTAGAATCCTTCTCCCTGCCTTATCCGCCAATACCACAGAACCTTAATATCATATCATATCATATCATATCATTTCTTTTCAAATTTGACCTTATCATTTCTCTTTTTAAATCCTCCACCTCCCCTCCTACTCTTTCCCTTAGCTACAATAACTTGATAAACAGTTATAGCTATAGTTTGACAAGTCTTCCTGCAACAATGGGGAGAGCAAGGAGGACTTTAGTATACTAATCAGGACTTCAAAGAATAATACAGAATTGTACAGTGGAATACAGTCCTATACAGGCCTAGGGGAGGGTCACAAAATTTCTTTTCACGCTTCGTGCTAACTCTCGCATATTCTATTTTACCAAAAAAAAAGTAATGTAAGATTAACAATTGTAAAAATTCACAAAAAAAATATTTATAATAAAAAATGTGTTTATCCTTTACCTCCTGTGGCCACTAGTTGTACAATACCAACAACTGCTGTTGCAACATAATCGTCAATAGAGCTTCCAACAGCGTTGAATATCTCAACCGTCTGAAATGGTTAATGAAATATTTTTCTTAAATAAAAAATTTTTTTTTACTCATTCATTACACATTCCAGGTCTATTTTACCTTGAAAACAAGAACGTTTATACCAGACCAGCTTTGCAGGAACATTAGAACCATGGAGAGACTTAGAGGATGTAGGACACCTCTACTTATAAACCTTGAATATATATATATCTTGTAATATTAGAACCATGGAGAGAATTAGAGGATTTAGGACACCTCTACTCATAAACCTAGAATATATATATATATATCTTGTAATATTAGAACCATGGAGAGAATTAGAGGATGTAGGACACCTCTACTCATAAACCTAGAATATACTCATAATTTAACAATAAAATGATTATTTTCGTTATTTTTTAAATAATTATTATTTACTTTTGTGTGATTTCTTGCTGCTCTGCCTGGGCTTCCTCTAGTTTTCCATTATCCTCGGTAGTATTGGTATTTTCTAAATATTAATCAAATTTAAATCTAAATGACTGTTCGTTTAAAGATTCCAGATTCACAACAACACTTTTTAAACCTTCAACTGCTAAGAAATGTTTAAATTTTATTGTTTTTTTGTTTAAAAAATCTTCAGTTCTAACAATATTTTAACAAAATCCACCATTGCTTCTGTAGCAATAAGTCCGCATGTCCCTTTTCTAGAGAAATTAAAATTGACAATAATAAACTTTTATAGTTATAAACATGAATATCTTTTTCATGTTTGATCATACGAAGGTTACTATTCTGAATCGAAAATGTCACTCTTTATGTTAATTTTAATTACATCTACAGAGTCACCTTTAATAACAAACCCTTGAAATTACATCTATACAGAGTCACCTTTAATAACAAACCCTTGAAATTACATCTATACAGAGTCACCTTTAATAACAAACACTTGAAATTACATCCACAGAATCCCCTTTAATAACAAAATCTTGAAATTCATAGATTGTGCAAGTAAAAGATCTTTGCAAGGACTAGAAAAATTGGGTTGATAAATCACGCAAAATATATCAAGAAATTTTGTTGAAAGTTATTACCTTCTGTTTTGTTTTCCCTCTGTTCTGTTTTTTCTTCCGAAAAGTTGTTGTTATCTTTAAAAAATATGTAATTTTATGTGAAAATAAAAATTTGAAGACAGAACAAAATGAAAAAAACGTGAAAAAGACATTACATAATTAAAGAGCTAAAAAATGGTGCTATTGCTATTGCCATTGGACATTTTTTTTAGCTGAAAGGATGGGGAGGGATGTTTTAGAGATTAGTAAAGCAAAGCCTTTGTAATGTTTAGTTGCTATCCATACATTTAGGTCTTCAGCTTCTATCGTTAAGATTCTAGGTAAGTTTTAAGAAACTGGAAAAAGTACGTATGTGTTTTTAATTTGTGAATCAAAATTTTCAACTTCACAATTATTATCGCGTGAAACTTTTTTATACAATCAATTATTCAAGGGATTTTTGAAAATATTAAATCCGTATTTTATTGAGGAGACACTTTTCATACACTTACCTTTTTCTTGAGTACTGTTTGCAGAGGGTGCAGTGGGCCTAGAAAAATTCAATTTTGGAAATCTTATTAGGGAGTGTTCGCGAAAATAAAATGGGGTAAAGGCTTAATGCGATAAAAAAGCGCTTTTGATTGCTACTAATCTTACTTCTATCTGTTGTGTATAAAAGGAGATAATTGTTAAAAACGTCTCATACCGAAGAACGTAGCGCCCATACAAATTGAGAAAATTGCAACATACGACTTAGATTGTAAAAAATCAATTTAATTTCAAACAAATCATTCAGATATTACAACCTATAGTCATCGATTATCTTTCGCCACATTTGTATATAGTTTATATTTTATAATATTTTTAACTAATTTGTTTTGAATTTGATTATTTCTCTTGTCGCCGCGTGCGCAACTATCCAAGAATGCCGCGCACCACTCACATTTTTCGAAATCCGTTAAAAGCGAAAAAATAATTAAAAAATATTATAAAATATTTTCTCCTTATAGACGTAACATATCGAAGTAAGATTTGTAAAGATCAAAAGCGCTTTTTTATCGCATTAAGCCTATATTCCCTTTCATTTTTCGCGAACACTCCCTTTAAAAACTAAGTTATTTTGAATCTCAAATATTGTTATATTAAAAAGATTTTCAACAACTTCGCATTTGAAAATGGTAGAACACATATATTCCAATAAATGTTTAAGTTAAAATATTTATTATTTTTATTCTTTGAAATAATATTATTTTTATTGATTCAGAAAAGATTACTTGGTTGACTCGTTTTCGAGGTTAAACCAATCAGATGATTTAATCGCCAGCTGAACCTTTCCGTTCCTGGTCAACCAGACCGGACTCTCGGGTAGGAAACACATACCTAGGCACCAGGGAACACAGTTCAAAACTTATAAATGCGGCTCAATTTAAACAGCTGTTAAAGGGACTGTCAGCGTAATTTTATGTGACCCTCCATGCTACAGTGAAACCCTTAATAACGAATACATCGGAAGAATTTATAAAATGTCGTCTTGACAATTTTTCAATGAGTTTTATACTATATTACGTAAATTTCAGTATTTGCGAAAATAAATAAATATCCATGTATGCAGGAACAGTTTTAAAGAGTTCCATATAATCATTTAATTAAAAAACTAAATATCTGCAACATTCAATTATCAGAAAGTGTAGAATACGACATTTGATGAATTCTTTCTATGTATTCATTATTAAGGGTTTCACTGTAAGAGAAAATGCTAGATTCCCAACGGTACCCTTGAATGCTTTGCCTGATAAAGTATGAATTAGATATCAACGTTTATAATTTTGAAAACTGAATATTTAAAATAGTGGTTTCACTACAAAAGTGACTTGTGCATTTCTAGTGCAGGAAAACATAAAGGAGTTATCAGAGTCTTATAGTTTTAAACCTAGAAAAACGACAATATCTTCCACATTTTTGTGCAGGTAATGGTTCCAAGGGTACCGTTGTGAAATCTCAGAGTGAAAGGTCACTTAAAATTACACTTTCAGTCCCTTTAACCACTGGGTTAATTTCAAAATTTCTATGGACTGTATTTGTGGAATTTCAACTGGATTTGGGAAATTTTGAACTCCCCCAAAAGGCTAGGAACCACACTCCTTAATGAAATTTTAGCTTTATACAATATACTTTTTTATCTTCTGTGTCTTTAAAATTCCAAATTGATCATTTCTCGTTTTGATTCACTTGCTTTTACTCCAATAATAATGGATTAATATTTTTATCATTAGTAAAAAAAACATGAATCTAATTTAATTCTCATTTGATAAGAATGAATTAAAATTAAATGATAATACTAACCAAGTATAAGTATTCCAGGGGGTATAAGACTGATATAGGCAAGCTGATGCCAAGCTACTCCTGCTCCTATAGCGTATCCCAGTAGAACCCCTATAATAAAATAATTAGTGTTTCAATCTAAAGTATTTTATGGTCATTATGGCATATTATCAGTTATTACAACTTCAGGATTTTTTATCAAAAATTTTGGGAAAATCCAATAAATGCGGAATTTGTATGTTTAATGTTTATCTTTAGAGCTAGAGGCAGAGCTGGAATATTTACCTAGAGCAAGAACTAGAGCTAGAATATATACCTAAAGCTAGAAGTAGAGCTGGAATACCTACCTAGAGCTAGAAGTAGAGTTGGAATACCTACCTAGAGCTAGAAGTAGAGCTGGAATACCTACCTAGATCTAGAAGTAGAGCTGGAATGCCTGCCTAAAGCTAGAAGTAGAGCTGGAATACCTACCTAGAGCTAGAAGAATAGCTGGAATACCTACCTATAGCTAGAAGTAGAGCTGGAATGCCTACCTAAAGCTAGAAGTAAAGCTGGAATACTACCGAGAGCTAGAAGTAGAGCTGGAATACCTACCTAGAGCTAGAAGTAGAGCTGGAATACCTAACTTGCTAGAAGTAGAGCTGGAATACCTGCCTAGAGCTAGAATTAGAGATGGAATATCTACCAAGAGCAAGAAGTAGAGTTGGAATACCTACCTAGAGCTAGAAGTAGAGTTGGAATACCTACCTAGAGCTAGAAGTAGAGCTGGAATACCTACCTAGAGCTTGAAGTAGAGCTGGAATACCTACCTCGGGTTAGAATTAAAGTTGGTTAGAATTAGAGTTGGAATACCTACCAAGAGCTAGAAGTAGAGCTGGAATACCTACCTAGAGCTAGAAGTAGAGCTGGAATACCTACATAGAGCTAGAAGTAGAGTTAAAATACCTACCTAAAGCTAGAAGTAGAGCTGGAATACCTACCTAGAGCTTGAAGTAGAGCTGGAATACCTACCTAGAGCTAGGAGTAGAGCTGGAATACCTACCTAGAGCTAGAAGAAGAGCTGGAATACCTACCTAGATCTAGAAGTAGAGCTGAAATACCTACCTCGGGTTAGAATTAGAGTTGGAATACCTACCTAGAGCTAGAAGTAGAGCTGGAATACATCCCAACCTTCCTCGTAATGAAGAATGAGTGGTCTCTGATATATAGATCACAGTTGCTGGCATCGTTATTCCTAAACATAGATTTAAAAATTAAAATTCTCGTCAAACATTACAACTAGGGCATGGGGTTTGCACTGCATGCCAATTGGGGGCTAAGTGCAAAATTAGTAAATAGTGCATGGATGTGGGGAGCTCAAAATGTACGCTATCACTGTAGGCGTCAAATTTTTAAAAAGTATGTGTAAAATTTACTTTTCTTGATTTTACACATTAAAAGTAAAAATATCAACCTTTAGTGTATCAAGTAAACCAAACTGTACAATGTACTGCATGCCAACCTTGAATGTATGGAGTAAAAGTATGTGTACATACCATTTTTAAATGTACATGAAGTAAAAGTATGTGTACAAACCAACCTTGAATGTACATTAAGTAAAAGTATGTGTACATACCAACCTTAAATGTACATGAAGTAAAGATATGTGTACAAACCAACCTTGAATGTATAAGTAAAAGTATGTGTACATACCAACCTTAAATGTACATGAAGTAAAGATATGTGTACAAACCAACCTTGAATGTACAAGAAGAAAAGTATGTGTACATACCAACCTTGAATATACATAAATTATAAGTATGTTTACAGACCAACCTTGAATGTATATGAAGTAAAAGTATTTGTACATACCAACCTTGAATGTACATTAAGTAAAAGTTTGTGTACATACCATTTTTAAATGTACATGAAGTAAAAGTATGTGTACAAACCAACCTTGAATGTACATTAAGTAAAAGTATGTGTACATACCAACCTTAAATGTACATGAAGTAAAGATATGTGTACAAACCAACCTTGAATGTACAAGAAGAAAAGTATGTGCACATACCAACCTTAAATATACATAAAGTATAAGTATGTGTACAGACCAACCTTGAATGTATATGAAGTAAAAGTATTTGTACATACCAACCTTGAATGTACAAGAAGAAAAGTATGTGTACATACCAACCTTGAATTTACATGAAGTAAAAGTATGTGTACATACCAACCTTGAATGTACAAGAAGTGAAAGTATGTGTACATATCAACCTTGAATGTACATGAAGTGAAAGTATGTGTTCATACCAACCTTGAATGTACAAGAAATAAAAGTATGTCTTCATACCAACCTTGAATATACATGAGTAGAAGTATGTGAACAGACCAACCTTGAATATAAATGAAGTAAAAGTATGTGTACATACCAACCTTGCATGTACATGAAGTAAAAGTATGTGTTCATACCATCCTTGTATGTACAAGAAGTGAAAGTATGTGTACATACCAACCTTGAATATACATGAGTAGAAGTATGTGTACAGACCAACCTTGAATGTACAAGAAGTAAAAGTATGTGTACATACCAACCTTGAATGTACAAGAAGTAAAAGGATGTGTACATACCAACCTTGAATGTACAAGAAGTAAAAGTATGTGTACATACCAACCTTAAACGTACATGAAGTAAAAGTAATTGTACGTACCAACTCCTATCCCTCCCATAACTCTTCCCACCAGTATCATTGGGACAATATCATCTAGCTGAGCCAGGCCAATCAGCAAATTTGCGATAATAAATATTGTTCCTAAACAAATCACGCAATAATTATATTTATGTTTTAGAGAATCTGAATAAAGTTGTAATGCCACAAATAATTCACATTGGTTGTATTTATCCATACTTTTGAACGGATAATCTTTTTTTCGATCAAATAACGTAATTTCAAGTGACTGTAGAGTGACATCATTGCATGTCCGATTCACAATGGTACCCCTAAAAAATTTGTCTGATTAAATATTAATTAGATATCCAGGTATTGTTCAATATTTTTTAAACTGTTTATTTTCAATAGTGGGTTCTTTACAAAAATGACTTGCGCATATATACCGCAGGAAAAAATGTGTAGGAGTTATCAGAATTAAACACTTGTTGTGAATCAGACATACCTCTTTTTAAATGAAGGGTTACTTGAAATTACCACAACGCAACTGTCCCTTTAAATAGTTGATTACAAAAAATACGTAAAAAATAAAGTAAGTGAGCTGCTAGTATGAGGGTAGGTAATGGGTAACTGACCTGCCAGTATGAAGGTAGCTAATAAAGGGTGTTTAAAATACCTTCTCACTTTTTTCTCGCACAGGCTTAAATATTATCCGACCATAGTGAAATTTGTATTAAAGTGTCTCTAGGATCTAAGGACTACATGGTTAAAAAATTTCGGATTTGGTCAACCCGGTTCTGAATTAATACGCTTTATCTCTTGGGAAAGGATTTGATGAGCGTACCTGGCTGGTATATATTTCCATTCTCGCCACACTGCTTCAGATGATAGAGATTTTCAAATTTTTCCTTGCAACCTTCTTTTTCCCATGGCCCAAATATTCTCAATTATTGGCCGGACATTAAATACTTCATAGACATTGTCAGGTGTAAACCAAACTTTGATTGACAGCATAAGATGCTTACTGCAGTTTCTGTTTACAACTTTGGTCCTGCCAGCAAGCAGAGCCGTCATGGACCGTGTTAGAGTTGATTTACACAAGGAAAAGCTTTAGGATAGTTAGGTATATTCCTTATTGTAATTCTCTATGCTGAAAGAGAAGTGAAGAAACTGGTTCTGCATTTGCCTGGTTTACAATGGCCTCCAACTTGGGGTTTGGTCATATTAGCTCCACCCTGAACTTGTATTCTGTTAACTAGCAAAGCTTTTAACAGTTTTAGGCTTATGTTGAATAGATTAAATTGATTTTTGTCTTTCTTAATCAAGTTCTGGACCTCCTTCAGCTTTATTAATGTTTTTTTGCAGGTATGCTAATCAGTTTCATCCCCAAGAAATGAAGAGTATTTAATCAGAGCAATGTTTACCAAATCCGATTATTTTTTAACCATGTAGTCCTAACCTGCTAGAGACATTGTGATATTAATTTCATTATGATCTGAAAATGATTAAGCCTGTGAGAGAAAAAAGTGTAGTGTTTTATTTTTTTTATTTTAACACCCTTTAAGTAATTAACTGACCTGCTAGTATGAGGGTTGGTAATAAATAACTGATCTGCCAGTATGAGGGTTGGTAATAAATAACTGACCTGCCAGTATGAAGGTAGATGATAAGTAACTGACCTGCCAGTATGAGGGTAGATAATAAGTAACTGACCTGCTAGTATGAGGGTAGGTAATAAGTAACTAACCTGCCAGTATGAGGGTAGGTAATAAGTAACTGACCTGCTAGTATGAGGGTAGGTAATAAGTAACTGACCTGCTAGTATGAGGGTAGGTAATAAGTAACTGACCTGCCAGTATGAGGGTAGGTCTACGTCCTAGGTAGTTTAAGGGGAAGGAGGATATTAAACTGCCACAAATAGCTCCCAGGGGTAATGTGGAAACTAAATACAAATTACGATTAAATAAGTAATTAATTAAATATTAATGAAATATAACAAAAACATACAAAATTAAGTGTTTCAGGAGAAAATACTTAAAATCTCCCAAAATAGAGGTTGGAAATATTTTCCGGATAATTCAATTCATGTGTTTAGTATAGATTTAGTTTAAATACAAAGATCGTTTCCAAGAAAAAGTCTATCCTGTGAACTGGTTTTCACCTTAAACCTATCCAATAGATAGTTTTCTAAAATTTCCAGGAAATAGTTACCAAACTGTCCAGGAAATAGTTACCAAACTATCCAGAAATAGAAATAAAAATGAGTTACTACCTATGCAGGAAATGAGTTCCTTCTTATTCAGGAAAATTTTTCCAAACTATCCAGGAAATGATTTTCTTTCTATATTGAAAATGAGTTCCTACCTATCCAGGAAATGAGTTTCTATCTATCTATTTATCCTCGAAATGAGTTCTTACCTATCCAGGAAATAAGTTCCTACCTGTCCAGGAAATAAGTTCCTACCTATCCAGGAAATTATTTCCGGTTTCTGCGGGGAGGTGGCCAAGGCCCATTCATTGATTTCTCCTCTCAGCTCTGAAAATCATAATCAATGAAACCAAAAATCAATTACTGATCTGCTGTCCATGAAAAACTATACAATTGATCAGATGTTATTGATAGATTATATATTAATTTGTTATTCATGGATAGATCAAAGATTGATCTGATATTTTAAATGAGATCAAAGATTAATCAGTTGTCTATGAATAGATCAAAGATTAATCAGTTGTCTATGGATTGATCAAAGATTAATCAGTTGTCTATGGATAGATCAAAGATTAATCAGTTGTCTATAGATAGATCAAAGATTAATCAGTTGTTTATGGATAGATCAAAGATTAATCAGTTGTTTATGGATAGATCAAAGATTAATCAGTTGTCTATGGATAGATCAAAGATTAATCAGTTGTCTATGGATAGATCAAAGATTAATCAGTTGTCTTTGGATTGATCAAAGATTGATCAGCTGGCAATGAGTAGGTCCAAGATTGATCAGCTGGCAATAAGTAGGTTCAAGATTGATCAGCTGGCAATGAGTAGGTCCAAGATTGATCAGCTGGCAATGAGTAGGTCCAAGATTGATCAATTGTCAATGTTTTAGATAGATCAAATATTGATCTTTATATATATGGATAGATCAAAGATTAAAATATATAGTCCATGGATTGAGTTGTTCAGCCCACAATCCTTTCAATTAAAAAATTTTAATCTACATATAGATCTATATCTATTGACATATCTGTTAATCTATTAATCTATTGATCTATCGATATATTTATCTATTTATCTGTTTATCTCTACCTGGTTTATTCAAGGAAGGAACTGCAGTTGCAGCCCAGGATCTACAAGTAAAATAAATTAACATATTTGGTTTGTTTGGTTCTTTGTTTGTTTGTTTGTCTGTGTCCAATAAACGTGACACGACTGAACCGATCGGATCCATTTCCTGTACAATCTTATATGACCCGGAGAGTGTTATGGAAGGATAAAATAAAAATATGATGCTTCTAAAAAATGTCGTTTTTAAACAATGATCAAGAAGAACAGGAAAATTCCCGAAATTTTACAGCTTGCAAAGTACATAAAAAAATAATGACATGAAAAGTAACATTAAAAAGCTTAAGCAATTACTAGAGAAACGAGACCGTAGGAAAATGGACAATCATAGAATAAAGCAAAATATCAAAAACTAGTTGAAAAAGTAGTTTGATAGATTATAACTGGAAATTTTAATTTGTAAGAAAGATAAAAAGAGATTAATTTATTAATTCCCTTTGTGTAATATATACTTTAATCTAAATGAAAACAAAATCCTACCTCATTATCCCAACAGTAAGATACGCCATGGAGCTGATTAATGTAGCAAATACCTTAATATTTACAGAATTGAGGCGGAAAATTTAGAATTTCGAGGTCTTACTTTTTAAGTGATGCATTTTTCAGATAAACTAGTTCAACTTGACCCGGCAATGTACTCATTTACAGCCACAATAATCTATATTATAAAGCTCTTCGCTCAAATATATATATATTGTAAGAGTTCTAGCCGGATCACAATTGTGTCTGAAAGTGCTATTTTTCTTTAGTCTTCATGACAAATCAATGCAAATCTAAACTCAATAGTTAAGATTAAGGAAAGAAAATAATGAGCCCGAGTAAAAAAGTATTTACTATAATGGTTTATAGAGTACACCCAAATGTCAAATATTTAATGATAAGACAACGGCGCAATACAAAACGTTGGGGTACACAATACACATCTTTTAATCAATCTTGAGTAAAACAAAAAATATAAATATTTCGATAACAAACTGGAAACAGGCTTACTGATGTATCGTTTTATTTGTATCCATGAGCTTTTGCCCACATCCCTTAATTAAAATCAATTAAATTTTAAAGTTAAATATATATATATATATTTATAAGAAAAGAACTATTCAACATATGATTTTAGTTTTTATGTATTTTTATATATATATTATCTATAGCTGGGTTGAATTGTTTATAGGGAATCCATGGGTATCCCAAGGGTAATATAGGCTAGTTTATGATATAACGATAATATAGGCTAGTTTATGATATAACGATTTCAATTTTCAGTCCAAAAAAAGCTTGTAACATTTTTTCTAAGTTTGCACACAAAAAATTACAAAATATCTGGAATAAACAAAAGTCAATTTCATTATTTTGACAATTCTAGATGGTATCATGTATCCACATTGGCAAATTTTGCTTAAAATTCAAAGGATAAAAAATGGTAAAGCCGGGACTGTAAAATGGATTTTAATCAGGAAAAAGAAATATAAATACGAAAAAAAGATGTTGATTTAAATTTCTTTTTAAATTGTCTCACCTGAGGCCATATCTTTCTAAGTTGTGGAAAATTCAAAATCATTTTCTAAACCAGCTGGCAGGCAGGTAGGCAGGCAGGTAGGCAGGCAGGCAGGGAGGCAGGCAGGGAGTCAGGGAGGCAGGCAGGGATGCAGGTAGGCAGGCAGGCAGGGAGGCAGGAGTATAGCACTTCAAGATATTCAACTAATTGTCTGTCTTGGTCTTTAAATGTCAATTCTGCACTGCAGAGTTCCCCAACAATCATGAGACTTTATAAACTGAAAAATCAATTAGTTTTTTTCTTTTACTCCAAATTCTTATTTAAGAATACAATATTGAATAAAAAAGCATCTTAGCAGAAATCTTAAATATTTTGGGACTCCCCTTATATGTAGAAAATGAAACCAACTGTACAGAACTGAAGTGTACACTGTACTGTGTTGGTTTACACTTTAAAGGTTCAGCATCAAAATCTAGAACAAAATCTGAATTAAAATATTTGCAAATATTTGAAGAGAAAATCTCTGAAAGAGAAAAATTTGTACAATGTGATCTGAAAAATTTTCGAAGAAAAAGTTGAGAATTTTTTGTGGGATTTCGAAAACTCAAGAATATTTTGATTGGATTTTTGAAGCCACTTTGAATATTCCAAAAATATCAAAATGTCAGAATAAATTCTGTTCTCCATATTTTAATCGAGAAATGGCCAAGTTTATATGTACGAATAGAATTGAGTCTTTCCAATCCCTTTATCTTTGCAACCCAATGTCGTATACCTCAGATTGTTCAAACTATAAATTTGGTCAGACGAAAAAAATCTAAGTTTTAAAATCAAAGATCAACACTATCAGGTTGCCAATATATAGGGTTAATCAAATTTGAGTTTGAAATTTAGAAATTTCTTTATTATCGGAATAGAGTTTTTGTCACATCCTCAAATTTCAAATCCTTTTATCTTTAAACCTATAAATTTTTTTAACTCTTATAGTTTTAAATATCAAAGGTCTACGACATCAGGTTAATGTAGAAGTTTAAAATCAGATATTGATGCAAAAACTCAATTCCTTTGATAAACTTAAAACCTTTTCTTTACTTTTATAATTTAGCACCAACCACCCTTCAATAGTCAGATTTTGGTTCTAGGGCTGATATCTGCTCACTGCAGCTCACTGCTTCAAAATATTTAAAACTCTTTTTTCCTCTCTCACCATTTGCAGTTTAACGGTTGACAATATAAATAATACTACGTGCCTTAAACAGATTACAGGCTTCTCATCTTAAATATCAAACTGGCGCAATTATAACTAAAGCTGCCTCACAAATCAGATGATTTAATTATCGACCTTTCCCCCCCCCCATCCTC